AGGCAAGATTTCTCTAGAACAGATCTGACCAGCCAGATATCATTGGGAAATTCTTGTGTCAACACCATACTGTTTTAATTATTATAAAGCAAAAGCCCCTTGTCTCATTATCCTTCTTTTTAAAAAAAATCAGCATATAAATTTCAGTGGCCTTTGCTCCCATCTATATGCTGTTGGACAGGCAGCAAGATTGGAAGTAGACGGCCTGGTGTTGGGAGGCAGACAAAATCTTGTCTTTGCCATTTGCCGGTGGTGTGACCTTGGACAAGTCCCTTACCTCTCTGAGCCTGTTTACTTATCTGTCAGTTTTCTAGCTAGAAACTGAGAAGTCATTTCTGATTTCTTCTGCTTCCTCAACCTCCACATTCAGTTGAATAGCAAATCCCACTGGCTCTATTTCCAAATTTATATCCAAATCCACCTATATCTCTTTTTCGCCACAGCTGCCTCCCTCATCATAGCTTCTGCACAGACTTGTGCAGTATCACCTACATCACTCTCTGTATCCACTCTTGCCCTCTCTTTCATCTCATTCTTCATGAGCCAAGAGTGATTTTTCTTAAAACCTAAATCTGATCATCTCACTTTTCTGAGTACATTCCTTCATTTGATGTCCTATTGCACTCAGCATAAAATACCTTCAAGGCCCTGAAGTGTTCGGCCTTTGCCTCCTCCTTCCACATTGTCTCCTGCCCCTCCTCACTCTTCCCCTGGTGTTAGAACACGTCAGATTGTTTCCTGTCATAGCGCAGGGCCTTTGTGTGTTCTGTTTCCTCTGCCTGGAAATTTCTATATCCCACAGCTAGCGCCTTCTCATCCTCTGACAGGAGCTTAGGAGTCAGCTCTTCAGAGAGGCCACCCTATCTAAAATTAGATGCTCCCATACCCACCACTTTATCTCAGCATGCTGTTTCCTTTTTTCGCACTTATTCACAAATTTCAATTACATATTTTAGTTATTTTTGAATTTGTTTTTTTATTCTGTATTTCCTATTAGAACGTAAGCTCCCTAAGGAAAAAGAGTATATATTTTGTTGGCTGTTGTATCCCCAGTGCTGAGTAAAGTGCCTTGCACACAGCTGGTATTCAGTAGCTGTCTGTTGATTGGATGGATAGATAGATGGATAGATAGATGGATAAATAGATGGAGGGATGACGTGGTACCAGAGCACATAGTAAGCACTTACTAAGTAAAAGCTATTATGTTCTCCTACTACTAGTTAAAACTTCTCTGTAGCAAGTTCCAATACCAACTGGCTTAAAACAGAGGCTTTTATCAGCTTAAGTGATAGAAGTCTAGGGAGGTCTGGATGCGGGGGCTCAGATGATGCTATTAGAGCACACTGCTCGGATAGGCCCACTCCACGTGACAGGCATGAAGGGCCCCAGCAGCTAAGCCTCACTTCTTCCAGCATAGTAGCAGTGCTCGCCTATGGAGAGCTGCTTCCCCTAGAACTGTAGTTGAAAAAGGCCAGGGAAGGCTCTAATTGGCTTGGCTTTGGTCATGTGCTCATATCAGAACCAATCACAGGGCTAGGAAGATGGAGAACTCCAGTTGGCCCACACTGGGTCACCGGCTCAGCCCTGTGGCAGCCTTGGTGGGGGTCCTGCAGGGTCAGGGCCGCCTGCACTCAGGAAGTGGGTTCTTGGAGGAGAGACAGCCCATTGACAGAAGAGGCATGCACAAACACTGTCACTCTCTCAGATAGTAGTAACGGTTGCCCTGCAGCTACTGTGGCACCCCGCCCCCACCCTCACCATGGCTTCTCCATGGGGATGGGTCACTTGGCTTCCCCTGGGGGTCTCAGGGGTGACCATTGTGCCCCATTTCCCAACAGCACAACTCTTATGTGTGTGGGAGGCCAAGGCCCTCAGGCTTAGAGATGCTGTGTCAAAGGCCTAGACCCTGGGGTCTGCAGAGATCATGTTTCTAGAATATAGTAGGTGAGCCTATCCCCCAGTTTTTGTTTTTAATAATATTTCTTGTTTCCTTTACGATGAAAGTAATAAATATTTATTTTAGAAAATATAAAAAAGTGAAGAAAATAAGTCATCTGTAATCCTACACAGGGATAATCATTGCTTCTTGGCTTTTTAGTGTTTTCCCGTAATATCTAGTCATTTACATGTATGTTCATTTTCAAAATGTGAAAAGTATAGAAATTAAAGAAAACAATAATGCTACTGTTTATTGATGTTTTTACCCCATGATCTCATTACTCAGAGGAAACACTGTAAACATTTTTGTGCATTTCCTTCCATTGGCCTTCTTTGTTGGTTTCTTTTTCTTCTTTTTTTATGTAGTTTATTCATGAATTTGTGCTATAATTCTTTAGTGAGTGTTCCCAATGTGCCTGGGTCTGAGCTGAGAGCTTTACAGGGAGTGTCTCATTCAGTCCTCCCAATAACCTTAGAAGGAGCTGTCTCAGTCCATTCAGACTGCTATAACAAAATACCATAGACTGGGTGGCTTATAAATAACAGAAATTTATTTCTCACAGTTCTGGAGGCTGAGAAGTCCAAGATCAAGGTGCCAGAAGATTTGGTGTGTGGTGAGGACCCACTTCCTGCTTCATAAATGGCCGTCTTTCCACTGTGTCCTCACATGGAGGAAGGGGCCAGGCAGCTCTCTGGGGTCTCTTTTCTAAGGGCACTAATCCCATCATGTGGGTTTACCCTCATGACCTAATCACCTCCCAAAGGCCTCACCTCCTGATACCATCACATTGGTAATTAGGTTCAACATATGAATTTGGAGAGACACAAATCTTAGTCTAGAGGAGGCAATGCTTTTATCCCCAGTATACAATAGAGATAGAGAAACTAAGTGACAGGGTTGCTTACCTGAGATCACCTAGATGGTAGGTCATGGAGCCAGGGTTCATATCCAGGAAATCTGGCTTCAAAGCTGGGGTCATGAAACACACACACACACTAAGTTCTTATAGATGGGACCATGTTGTACATTCCCTCTGTGATGTCTGAGCATCTTTCCTTTTTTTAAAGTGACATTTTCTAAATCTAATTACAAATGTTCATTGTCGGAAAATTTGAAAATATGGAAAAGCTCAAAAGAAGAAATAAAATCTGCCCACAACCTCACCAGCCACTGATAGCCAGCCACTGAACTTTTTACATTTTTATCATTTATGTATATTAAAGTTCACTGTTTTTAGTGTACAGTTCTATGAGTTTTGATAGCTGGTAGTTTGTATAGCTCTTACTGTGGGTGTCTAAACCACCCAGCCCCAAATCTGTGCGAGCTGCAGGGGCACTGGGGACGGCTGGAGTTCATGTGGGGAGTGGGGGTTCCCCAGATGATTCACTGGGTGGAGGGAGATGATCGTGCTCCTTGTTGACTCAGGTTACGCTTTTTGGAGGGGGCAGCGAGGCAGGGACAACCCCTCTGTCTGTGGCCTGGTTTCCTGCGTGTCCTGGGCGCCTGGGTCCCTGGCCGCCTGCCGCAAGGCCTGCTGGAGCCTGCGTGTCTTACACCCAGCACCTGCTCCAGGACGTATGTGCTGACTGCCCAGCTCCCAGGCACAAACTATTTTTGGCTGCAGTGACTGTTCACTACAGTCATGAAAACAAACTCCTCTCCCTGCCTCCTCCTTCTCTGGGACACCGCACCAGGGGCCGGGGCTGCCAGGGACCCTGGGCTCTGGCCCCTCATCATGCATTGCCTGTGGAGATGGGTGAAGGCCAAGGCTGCAAGGGGCACGGGGACCCCACCGCCCGTGGTGCTGAAGCAAGCGCGAGGCCTAAACCAGCCCGGGCTGGAGAGTTGTGAGGTAGGCGTCGGGATCTGGGATCAGGCGACCTGTCTGTGAGTCCCCGGCATGGACGCATTTGGCTGGGCTCTGAGTCCTTGCTTTGGTAACCGTCTATAGAACATGTCTGGAGAAATCTGCATGTTGGGGTAGGATGTGACTTCCATTTCATTATTTCGTTCCCTTTCTTGCAGTAAAGTGGCTGGGGAACTGTCAGATTCTTCCTGAAATAGATCTCTCCTATCCTTCTAGTGAATGGTTTTTGGCCCGTTTGTGCTTTTGGTTTGAACAGGACACACATTTGTTTTGAGCCTGCTTCTGCAGGGAGCTTAAGAAACTGGGGTTGTACAGGCAGACCCAGCCATGCCTCTCAGTGCTTCTGGTCAGCCAGGCCAGGGAGGCCAAACCGTGTAGAGGCTGTGAGTGCTAGCTTTGGAGTTACATGGACCAGGGTCCACCCCAGGCTCCATCGCTCACTTGCTGACTTAAGTGAGTAACTTAATCTCTCTGAACTTTGCTTTCCCTAGCTACCAAGCAGTTGTCCCCAGGCCGCTTCACGAGTGGCACTAGTCCCAGTAGTTGTTATTTTTATGATTAGACTGGTTGTGAAAAGAGGAAGCATATGGACAGGCTGAGTAAGAATCAGTGTGCCACAGCCCTGGGTGGGCCTTAGGCCTCGTCTCAGAACCTGGGTGTTTGGGCGTAGCTGGTGATGTGGGATTTGCTTCTTCTTTTCAAAAAGAAAAGTGTGCACTGTCACCGAAGTGGGCATGGGGAGGGATGGGCAAGAACATGGAGTTGAGGATTTCTGCCCATTTCAGCCATCTTTTGAGCCACCAAGACATTAGGGACTTCCACGTTCTGGGTGAGGCCGTAAGCCCAGAACCCCATCATTGCTTCTGGATTCCATGGGACCTGGGCGCGTGAGGCAAGCACGTGGCTTGGTATTGCTCAGGCCAGCACCTTCAGAGATGATTCACGGGGCAGACCTCAGGGGAGTCTGCCCCTTGGCTCACCTCTTAGAGCAGCTCAGAAAACCTGGCAGGAATGGAACCTTTACATCTGGGTAGGGAGTGCCCACCATGGAAACAGCGAGCTCTCCCGGGGGATGGTGTGCCCTGGTGTTGGTCACTGGCAGTGCCTGGTTCTGGCGCTGTTGTTCTCGGTGATCTAGGCACATCCCCTCCCCTCTCTGGGCCTCAGTTTCCTCCTCTGTAAAATGAGCGTTGGACTAGATTGTCTCTAAAGTCTCTTCCAACTCTGCCTTTGACCTTGGCAGAGGAAGGGTTTCTCTCCTTCTCTCTTCCCAGACTCATGAATATACATTGGCCCCTTTCGTGCCCTCAGTGGCCCTGGTGATGGCCTCCTTGGCTTGAGTTCTGGCTCCTTTGGGCTCTCATTGCTGCCATGGGGCAGGAGTTGTTTACAGGGTTTATGGAAAACTACAGAGAGGGGCAGCCTACCTCTGGGATCTCCTGAGAGATCTCAGTCTCCTGGTTGGACACCTGTGGGGTAGCTCTGAAACAATGGGCCTCCTGTGCTCAGGCGGAGCAGCCTGGTTCTCAGGTCTCCAGCTCTGGGCTCACTTCCTGCAGCCTGGCTCATCCTCCACGTGGACAGACAGACAAACAACCACAGAGGACAGACCACATGCTGAACACTGGGATGAACTCTGGTGGAGGGGTCTGTGATTTGTCTTCTGGCCTTGCCGGGGGACCCTCCAGACTCCAACCCTGGGGCCTGGCATGTGCCAGGGCCCTGAGCGAGGTTGCTGTGCCCTGAGGCCCGTATGGCAGTCTGGCGCTCTCCGGTGCCGTGGGCCTCGCTGGCCGAGCTCAGCTCTCACCCTGAAGATGTGGAGGAGGCAGAAGTAGGAGATGGAGTAGGCTTGTCTGGGAATCCTCTCTTTAATGGCCTGTTTGAACAGGGGAGAATTGGACGGGGGAGAAGGTAGGGGCCAGCAAGCAATACGGACGGCTGTAGGTATGGCCACACCCGAGAGCCCCGGTTTATTTACGTTGGTGCCTTTAGCCTCCGGAGAGCTGGGGTTCCCCATGGGGAGAGACATTGCAAACCAAACCCCGCTCCCTGCACCCTCTGCATAGGATTAGCAGGCATCCCAGTTTTCAGGGGACAGTCCCAGTTTAGGGCTGTTGACCTTGCCGTTATAGCTCCCCCTCACTCTCAGAACCACCCTGTTGGGGTGTCCATCACATGCTTACCCTCCCGCTGCAGCCCCACCCCCCCCCCCAGCTGCCAGCCTGGCTGCGTCCCTACTGCCACCCTGCTCGTCCTCCTCTCACCTGCTGTGTCAACAAGGGATGCCAGGGAGGGCCTGCAGGTCTGGGGGGCCTGTGGCCCCTCCACACGGCCCTTCTTGTGCAGGGGGAGGCTTTCCCACTTGCCGGTTCCCCAGAAGCTAAGTGTCTTCCGAGGGCTAGTGTAGCTCTTTGGCTGCTGGCAAACCCTCCCCTGTCCCACCCTGGCCCCAATCTTACTTTTAATGTTTTCTTTTTTGTTTGTTTTAGAGTATTCCATTTTTGACTTGGGTTTTACTGTGGAGTCTAGTGGACAATAGTGGGTTTTTTTCCCACAATCCGCAAGTATCCTGGGTGTGGAGAGAACTCTCCTGCAGAAGCCTATCCATCTCCTGTGTCCTTTCTGGGAGTAGCATGTATTGGAGGGAAGCGCGCGGCCCCAAAGCTGGGGGTGGTGTGTGTGTGTGTTTCTCTAATGCTGGACATGTCTGGCCATTTTCAAACAGCATCCAGGAGAAGCATTTTTGGAAGTGTGTGTTCGTGACACACAGAAAGGTGACAAAATGCAGGCTTCCTAGATGGCAGATGTGGGCCTACCTGGGAGCCTCTCCTCTGTGTCCCCCTTCTGCTGATTATGTGTCGGGGGTTGGATGGGGAGAAGACGAGTCAGCACAGGGGGAGGCAGGAAGGAAGAAGCAGGGGCCGGGACCACCAGGAGATAGAGCCCAACGTAGTTGATGTGTGTTTGTTGAGTGGCTGAATGACCCGCTAGATCAGACCAAACTATGGCTCATGGGCAAAATTCAGCCCACCACTGTTTTGTTTTGTTTTGTTTTGTTGAGGAAGATAGGCCCTGAGCTAACATCTGTTGCCAATCTTCCTCTTTTTTTCTTTTTTCTCCCCAAAGCCCCGGTACCTAGTTATATATCCTAGCTGTAGGTCCCTCTAGTTCCTCTATGTGGGACGCCGCCTCAGCATGGCTTGATGAGCAGTGAGTAGGTCCGTGCCCAGGATCTGAACCGGTGAAGCCCGGGCCGCTGAATCAGACCCTGTGACTTAACCGCTGCGCCACCGGGCTGGCCCCAGCCCACCATTGTTTTTTGTACAGCCTTGTGAACTAAGAATGGTTTTCACATTTTTAGCTGGTAGGGGGAAAAAAAAAAAGAATGTTTCATGACATGTGAAAATTATATGAAATTAAGTTTCAGTGTCCATACATAAAGTTTTATTGGAACACAGCCACCCCCATTTGTTTACAATTGTCTGGTTGTTTTGGTGCTATGATGGCAGAGGTGAGTATTGTGACAGAGACCACATGGCCCGCAAAGCTGAAAATACTCACTCTTTCGCCTGTTGAGAAAAAGTTTGCCAATTCCTGTACTACGTGCCTCAGGGTTTGTGGGAGGAAGAGTGGGGCCTGGCAGGCAGCCACCGGACAGACCCTCCGGGAGGGCAGGGCCAGCCCCCTGGGGTGATGGTGGTGGCTGTGGCGACAGTAGATGCCGCCAGAGGCTGGAGATCTGGTCCCAGTGGAGTTGGAAAGCGCCTGCTTCTCCAGAGGGCAGGAGGGGAGCTGGGGGGGCAGCCGGCAGGCCGACTGAGGGGATTGAAACGGAATGTAGAGAGAAGACCTGTTGGGAGGCCTCCTGCAGCTGCTTTTAACCCCACAGCCGTGCTCACTGCAGCTTGGGCACTGGGGTAGGACAGGGTGTGGAGCCAGGCAAGTAGATGTGACCTGTAACGCCAGGTAGACTCTGCTCTGGGAGAAAGAGCTCACTACAGAGAGCAAAGAAGTGGGCACTAGTGTAGGCAGGACCAGCTGGCTGGGGATAGGAGAGATGGCCCATGCCTCAACCTCACCAGTTGGGCTGTGTCGCCTTGAGCAAGTTACCTACCCTCTCGGAGCCTTATCACCCATCTCAGGATGTTACGAGGACTGCTCCTTTATAGTTCGTCTAGCAGAGTGCTGGCACCCAGGAGATGTGATGAATGCTCGTCACTCACCCTTTCTTGACTGCTTTTTCCTCTCCTCCCCTTTGACCTGCATCCTTCCACCTCCACACCCCACCCCCATCACCGCACCATCTTTCTGATGCTTTCAAGCCCAGACATACCAATGTGTAGGCCAGAGACAGCTGCTCTCTGAAGATTCCAGCCTAGCTCCCCACTCTACGAGCCCGCACCCTGCCTTGTAGGAGGCGGGGAGGGAGGGAGGGAGTATGGGAGGGGACATCTCCTGGGACGTCTGTGAGCTTGGGCTAGGCTGGGGTTGAGTTGAAGGAGTGTGGGCCTCATGAGAGGACGGGCAGGAGGTCAGCCCCACGGCGCAGCCCTGCCCTGGCCAGACCTGCCTTCTGACCTGGGCATTCTCAGACCCTTTCTGCCCTGGGCTACTTTGGCCAGATTTAAGGCCCCACAACCTGTCTGCCCTCATGGTTCCCACCCCCAGAAATTCTGATCCGATTGTTCTGAGGTGGGGCCTGGGCTGATGCCCTTGTTAATTCCAGGGTGCTGCCAGGGTTAAGAGCCACTGATGTGATCTGGCCAAACCCACTCATTTTATAAATGATGAAACTAAAGCCCAGAGAGGGGTAGGGACTGGCCCAAGGTCAAGGGGGTTCCAAGGCCCAAATCTGACCCTTCCTTCGCGGTGCTGGCCGGCTGGGAGGTGGTGGAGAGAATACCTCCGGGAGGTGTCTGACTTCTCCCCAAGAGGGGCTTGTTCTCGTTTCCCAGGGCTGGGACGGTGAAGAGGCTTGGCCCAGACCCAGCCCACAGAAAAAGCCAGCATCCGCAAGCTGTCTGCTGATCTCCACGGAAACCCAGACCCTCACTGCCTCAGCCCCTCCTGTGCCTCTCAGAACATCCAGCTGTTGTTATCCACGTCTTGGCCGCAGCAGTGGGGAGAAGGCAGCCGGGAGCATCTGTCAGGTGCTCCCTTGCCCACTAGAGGCATGTGGGCTCCCTGCCTGGGCTGCCATAGAAACTCCCTTGCTTCTCCCTCTCCTTCCCTGAGCCCTAGCCTCAGAGGAGTGTCCAGGGTCCTACATCGCCATCCACAGGGTTCTGGGAGTCCACATCTGGCCTCTCTGCTGTGACCAGTTCCCAAGGAAGCCTCTGTGGTGAAGGCTCCTGGCCCTTTAATGAACCCCCAGCTGGGGAAGCTGGGGGATGCCTCTGCCCACACCCCAGAAATCCAGGTTCTGCAAATGGACCTGGAGTGCAGGCAGCACTGACGGAGGCCGTTACTCACTTTACTGACCCGTCCTGTGCTCTACGATGAGGAAGCTAGACAGAAACACGAAGTATGGGTTTGCTTCTTGGTCTTCCTTCAACTCCAGGCTTCACCGAATTCTGCTGTGAGCTGCCACGGGTTCTTGTACGTGACCCACACACAGGCCTTGAAGCCCCTGGCATTACCATGGTCCGCCTGACTGACCACGGAGTGTGGATGGCTCTGTGTCAGCCGGCACAGGTTTCTAAGTATAGACCCCAGGCCGCCCTGTGGCTGCTGGTGAGTCCTAGGATACCGTTTGATACGCAGCCTGGCCTGTGACAGCAGCCACTGCTGGCTGCTGAGGGGCGGGGTCTGCAGCGTTTGGCCCTGCGCATCCCACCTTCTGCTATAGAGAACAGAACCAGCAGCTTGATCACAGACTGGGAGTGGCCTCAGTGCTCAGTGGACCCTGCTCTCTAACTGTTAGCAGAAAGAATAACTTAACGTCACCTACTGGGGAACGTCAATCGTGGCTTGAGGGAAGGGGCAGAGGCAGGGGGCCAGTGTTCTCTGCAGCTCTTGCTCTGTCCCGTGTTCTCTGCCCCACTTCCCTGCTCACTGACCCAGGGCTTGTTGGACCCAGGGCTTGGCATCTCCCACAGTGGGCTGGGCAGCCGTGTCTTCCCTTCTTGGTTTCTAGTTCATATTTTCTTCTTTAGACAGAAGCTGGGGTGGGGTGGGCAATAATTCTCGAAGGAGTATGGACTCTCAGCCTCATCCCTTCTCTAGAACTCCAGGGTATGGGCCCTTGGCTTTAAGTCAACTTAGCATCTTCTATGTGCCTCCAGGCAGGTGGGAGCCCTCCTGGGGCCTGCCCCCCCCCACCCCCCAAGACCTCAGCAGGTCTCAGAGCGGCTTCACCTGCCAGGTCGTCAGCAGGCCTGTGAGCTCACCATCAGCAGGTGGTGACACTGATTCCCTAATATGCTTTCGGTTTAGAGATTATCTGGAAAAGTTGTACGTGAATTACTCGGTCTGAAATAACTTCCTAACTCCGATTTGGCTGTGCCGGTCACCGTGGGCGGGCGAATCACATCCGCGTGTGAGGTTTGGGGTTGCTGAGTTGCTTAGGGGCGCTGCTTGAGTCATGATAGGAGGAGATACCGGGACCACTCCGGGGGTGGCACAGCCTAACTGCTGTCCAGCCGGAGGTCCAGTTTTGAGAGCTGGGGGCTGTGTTTTCCTCATATACTGGCTCCAGCATGCCTGCCTCGCGCACGTTCCCCTATTGATTGAATTAATTTTGGGTCTGAAGTCACTCGTAAGAGTTGGAAGGCCGGGCACTTCATTTCCATGGTGGAGTCCCAGAGCCAGGGTGGGACCTGAGATGGGACTGAGAAGGCCTGGCCGCCCCGTGACATGTTCCTGGGGCACTTGCTGCTGGGCCGCCGTCCCTCCCTATTTGCCTACAGAAATAAAACTTTAGAAGTCGCTGATCAGACCTTTGGAAGGCGTCAGATTCTTTATACAGGGTCTCCATGCTGGCATCTGGGGGCTCCGTGTGACCCATGGATGTGACTGTTTGATCTGCACAGCTTTGCATTAGTTGCCACCATGTAAAAATCAGCCATTTTTAAAATAAAAATTCAGATTTCTTTACAAGAAGATCTCCCACAGCCTTCCCTCAGCCCAAAACAAAGTGAGGACAGAGGGCGGCTTTCTGATTAGTATCACCCTTGCTGCTGTCAGATTTCTTGTTGGGCAGTAAAGAGGCAAGAGAAGTGTTTCTAGTACTTGTATATCCATCAAAAGGTAGATCAAGGGGGCCACATCCCCACTGGTCTCATTTCTTCCCAAGGCCTGGCCCTGAGGCTGTGTGTTTGAGACCTTTACTCTACCAGGTAACCCGCTGACTGGTGGGTAGCTTCGTTGACTGTGGCTCTTAGGTAGAATGGGGTGGTCCCCCCCGTCAGTTCAGTGCCCCAGCCCTGCAGGGAGGAGGGATTAGAGAAGAAACAGTCAGAAATAATGGTGATGACGGTGTGCTGAGCACGCTCACTTCATGGATGGGCGTGCATAGTTCACACCCGGGGAGCGACGCTTGTCCTGGGAGAGGCTGGGGCGGCTCCAATTTCAGTGGGATCCTGGATTTGCTCTTCTATCCCAGTACCCCCTCCTGCCCCCCGATTTTGCCTTGCCAACCCCTGGTTTGAATTGGAGCATAAAAAGGGGGCAGAGGAGGGAAGGGAGAGCCGCCCCTGCTGCCTTATTCCCAGGGGGTGGCCTGGTCTCTGAAGCCTCAGGGGACTGAGAGAAACTTACCACTAATTTGAAGCTATAAGGGAAGACTTTTTCTTCTTTCATCTTTTTAAGGGAATGGATTTGAACATACTCTCTTTTTTAGAGGGTTACTTCACTTGCTGAAGAACAAAGGATTTCCATTTTACAGTAAAGTTTTTTTCAGAAAGCAGGTAGAAGTTCCTTTAATTTACTTTGAAAAAATCATTCCCCCTAAAAGATAGCAGCTGCGTGCCAAGGCTTTGCCAGGTTAACGAGTGACTGTGGAGAATCATTGAAGGAGCCGTGGGATCCGGCGCACCTGCATTTCAGTTCTGACCTGGCCTTTTATTAAGTTCCTTGTGTGACGTCTCTGAGCCTCAGTAAAATGGGCTTAACAGCATCTCCTTGCTGAATTGTTTGAGTGGAGATAGTACACAAAGCATTAGATATATCGTTCTGGGAAATAGTTTGTAATAATAAATGCGGTTATTATGTTTGAGACACTGAAACTTGGTGTGTAGGGGGGAGGAGAGGAATATAAAGAAAGAAAAAAAAAATCCCTATTTGCATTATGGTTACATTGGGGATTGGGTTTCTAGGCTTGTCCTTGTCGTTGACATCCCCTCTCCCCAAATCAAGCAGATACAGGAGTTTCTTCCAGAGAACTGCTGAGTCATCACAGCCTCGGGAAAATGCACGTGTGTGTGTGTGTGTGTGTGTGTGTGTGTGTGTGTGTGTAAAGAGTGCATGGAGGACACTCCAGGAAGAGGTGGAGGGTTTTGTGCAGTTGTATAAAGGTCAACGTCACTTCCATTTGTGCTTGCCCTGACAATATTGCCAAATTGCTTTTCAGTAAAATGAGTGGGAAAGATGTCAAAATTGCATTTCCATGAAGGGTGTTGCTGAGGGCAATAAAGGAAGAGACGTTGATTGAACAAAAGCTTCTGCCCCAGACCACTATCTAATCAGCCTCCTCTCTGTGCTGTTCTTATCAACGGTTTCCTGTGACGCTCTAGTTGTATCATCTGGTAGGATTTCTGACAACCAAGCGTTTGTCCAACAGACGATGAGCTTCTTGCTGGTTTTACGTGTCTGTTTATTTCTAATTTTTGGTGTGAATCATTCTAAACAGCTACGAGATTCTTGTCCACAACCTTGGAGCCTGAAGAACATTCAGACAAGACAGAAAGATGGGGAGGGAGGGACATGGCTAGACACCAGGGGCCACACACCAGGCCTTCTCTGTGTCCCCCACCCTCAGGCACCACAAAGCCCCAGAGCCATCACCCCAGTGACTCACAGCTAGTATCTTCATCAGGTTCGGTTTTGACACTTGAGTCTAAGATTTACAACAGCGCGGATTGGCTGACATTACTCTTTTAAAATAAAATTAGACACAGCTTGCCAAAATCAATGAAGATCAGTTTAGACTCGCAAGAATTGTGAGCTTTATAGAAAGCATTTGATGTGAGATGTCTGGCCTTCCCTGATGCAGAAAATCTGGGAAATATAGAAAGGGGCCAAAGAAGAAGAAGAAAAAACCCAGTCTCCCCACTGGTCCTGTAGCTCTTTGAGCTTTCTCTGTGCTAGGCCATATCTTATTGCATTGCAATGACTTGTTTTCATGTCAGTTAACCCACAAGCCACTGGAGGCCAGGGATGTGTCCCATTATTCTGTGTGTCTGCTCCAGGCTTGGAATCACAGGTGGCTCAAAATACATAATCAGAGCTGGAGGGTGAAATCCTTCCTGGATGAGAGGAAAGAATACAAGCTTTGAAGTCAGTCAGGCCTTGATTCAGATATTCACGCTTTGTATTAGTTTTCTGTTGCTGCTAACAAATTCCCACAAACTTAGGGGCTTAAAACATCCCCCATTTGTGAGCTCATGGTTCTGTAGGAGGAAGACTGGATGGAGGAGTCCAGGTGGGTTCAGCTAGCTTCCCTGCTTAGGGTCTCACCAGGCTGAAGTTGAGCTGTCAGCCAGGCTGGCCTCTTACCTGGAAGCTTTGGGAAGAAGCCACGTTCAGGTGCATTCAGGTTGTTGTTGGCAGAATCTAGTTCCTTGTGGCCATAGGTCTGAGGTTTCCTTTTCCTTGCTGGTCACCCGGGGGGTCACCCTCTCTTCTAGAGGTCACCCGCATACCTTCTCTTGTGTCCCCTCCATCTTCAAAGTCTGCATGGAAACCCTTTCATGCTTTGAGTCTCTCACTTCCTCTCCGCCATCTTGAAACCTTGAAGGGTTTAATGGAGACTTAAGTAAGGCGAAATGGTAAGTGTCTATACAGTGCTTGGCAGGGTTAATCCTTTTTAATCATCCTCTCTCTTAAGTCAATTTTATTTGAAATCTATCTTATCTGATTCAGATAGAGCAAAATTGTAAAGGGCTATCTTTATCTGAGGTCTTGTCATTCTAAAATGTTGTCATGATTCATACTTTTTCTGTGCAGAGGAATAAAAAGAAACCAGACGGGCAGCATGCCCTCATCAAAACTTTTCTGGTTTTTTCTTCCTTCCCCCCGCCCCTAGCCCCGAAGCTTTGGCTCTTCATTTCAGCTGCTGTCTCCGGGAGCACTGGGGGTGGGGCGAGGGTCGGCCGCTTGTGTCCTCAGACAAGTGGTAGCTTCTGGTCGGAGGCCGGCCCCGCCAGCAGCTGGCCCCTGCCACTCAGCGGGGAGGCGGCCCGGCCGGGAGGAGGATGAAGAGGGTGCCGGGCCGCCTGAGTGCTCACCGGCTCTCTGCCTGTCGTACTTCCTCAGGAGATCCTCCGCGAGCTCACGCTGGATGCCCTGCTGGACATGAATGAGGCCAAGGTGAAGGAGACGCTGCGGCGCTGCGGGGCCAGCCCCAAGGACTGCGGCCGCCTGCAGTATGGCCTCGCCTGCCTGCGGAAGGGTAGGTCGTGCCTCCATCGGCTGCCTCTCCCTCCACCCGGGCCTCCACACTGGCCCGCTCTCCCCCGGCCTGGCCTGGTCCCCCGGGGGCCAGGGCCTTTGCTGAGGAGGATGAGAGGGTGGGGCAAGGTGACCCAGGTTTCTGGGGCAGCTGGGAAAGGCCAGGGTGGCAGTTCAGAAAGCATGTGATGGGCCTGACCTGGGACAGAGGCTCTCCCTGCGACAGAAGGCTCGGATCCCAACTGGTCTGGCCACTATGATCGTAGGGAAGCTTCAGCTGTTATTAGAAACCCCAGGCTGGTCTGCTGGGCGGGCCTTGCCTGATTCCCCCTGTGTGGGGCTCAGTGAACCCTCCAGCAGCTTCCTGCATTCCAGACCCCATCCCCACTCCAGTTCGGCCCCAGCCCTCTCCCCGCCTTCTCCTGTCCCTATCAGCTGGCCGGGCTCGAAGGCACACGCTGATGTAAGCTTAGCCTGAGCCAAGTTTTACTAGAGAAATTGTAGTGTTTCAACTGTGAGTATGTCCATGGCTGCCCTAGGCAAAGTGTGTAATCCTGGCATTATGGCGAGTTCCTTGGGAATTACTTGCAGGCTTTCTAAGTCTTGCCTTGGAAACAGCTTCAAATGTTCTGACTTAACGCTCCCACTACCACACAGATAAGGCTTTCAAATGAGCCTAATGAATGGAATTAGCCCTATTTTTTAATTATCTGAGCCACCTGTCTTATCTCTGGCTGCCTGAGGCTTAAAAAAGGCACTGAGGTTCATATTCTGCTTGATTTTTTTCCCAGAGAGGATTGGGTTTAATTTCGTCTGGCCCCATTGTACCAAGTTCTCCTCTGAACATAGAGCCCAGTGTAGAAAGCTTCACTCAGTTCAGAAAACCTCCACACCCCAGGCAAGTGTGAGGGAGTAAACATGACAGAGATGTGGGTGGCATTCCCAACCCCACGTTTTACACAGGAGACTGAGCCCAGAGAGGGGAAGAAGGTTAGCCAAGGACACACGGCAGTCCAGGGCAGAGCCGAGATTTGAGCCTTGGTCTTTGATGGTGGTTGGCTTGTTCCCACGTTGCAGAAGTTTAAAAGTACTTGCCACCCAATCTGGGATCCTGGGGTAACTTGTTAGCCCTCCCTCTTTATGTCTGGATTCTAGAGAACTGGGGAGGAGCCAGCTGTTGAGTGGTGGGGACCCATTTGTATTAGGAAGGCTGCTGTCTGCCCGTCCTGCATGCCAAGATCGGGAGATCGCTAATTTATTAAGCAGCTACTGTGTGCCAGGCACTTGACACATATGGCAACATCCTTTTAAGAGGTGGTGGTGAGCTCCTTTTGTAGCTAAAGCATCTGAACATCGGGGGCATTGGGTGAGTTGTCTGGAGTCCCACACCTGGCACACGGCAGAACTGGGCTTTGAACTCAGGTTTTGTCCTCAGAGGGTGCTTTTTCCACTCTGCCCTGGAGGAGGCCGCTGGGAAGAGGGTCTTTTCTAGGTCCTTCTCTCTCATTTGAGCTCAGCTTGTGGTGCCCCTACAACCCCAAGAGGGTCTTCCCAGGACGCGGGCAGACAAATGGGTCTGCCCAGCAGTGACCACACTTCAGGAGCACCTGCCGGGGACCGGGTGGGCACCAGCAATCACCATCTCTCGGGTCATGCAGTCAGAGTCTTCACTGCGCCTGACAGGGCTTGAGGAGAGCGGTCTAGTTGTGATAAAGGCGGACTATGGAACCAGACTGCTGGGGCCCAGCACTCTGCTCGGCCACTTAGAACCCATGGGACTTTGGCCAATTACTTAACCTTGCCGTGCCTCAGTTTCCTTGTCAGTAAAATGAGGGTAATAACTCATAGGGTCATTGTGAGGATTAAATGAGTTAAGGTCAAGTGGTTAGACAGAGCCTGGCACACATTAGGGGCTCTTTTCAGTGTCAGGCCTGTGAGGTGATGGAAAATGTTGACATCATTTCCCTTGTGGTCTCTGGTCTTAAGAAAGGTGATGAAGAATGGTTCTCTGTGCCAGTGGCTGGTGAGCAGCGGAAGATCATGCCTGCTGATACTTCCTGTCCTTCATCGGTAGCAGACATCACTAATCAATCCCCAAGCTCTTCCTGAGTGACTCCAGAATCATTCTCAAGCAGCCACTGCCAGTTGACTGGTGTTGATATTGCAAGACTCATTTGCCCTCCCTGAGCTGGCGCAAAGCAGTGGTGATTAAACAGACAATTTGAAGGATTTGGGGCTTGTGGCAAATGGGTGGCAGACTTGCCCATAGATCCATGGAACTCCTTTTTTCATTCTTTCAACAAGAAAGTGTTTGGTGCCTCCTATAGGCCAGTATATAAGTTCAAGTGTAAGTCGTGGCTGCAGTTCTAAAGGAGCAAGTGTAAGGAACAGACTGAGTAACCCATTCTGCCAAGTTGATTTATGAATAAAAGTCACCATGCAATGAAGTGGGAGGAAGGGTATTTGAGGAGGGGACAGAATGTACAAAGAAACCCTAAGAATTGTGAAGGCTGATCCCTCTCCACCACCCTAATAGGTGGCTGTGGAGGCTAGACTTGACCACCTCTGATGGCAGAGAGCTCATTCCTCCCAAGGCTGTGCCGTTGTAGGTTATTCAGAATTGACAGCCTTGTGGGAGGAGGCCTAGGGCTGTGGTTGAGAGAGAGGGCTCAGTTCCCATCCCGCCACTTAGCTGTCTGACCTTGGCACTGTATGTGGCCTCTGAATCTCAGCCATCTCGCTGTGCTGGGAGGGTTGAGGGAGACAGGATACAAAGCACAAAGTAGAAGGATTCCAGGTTGGAAGTTCATTTTGTCTTGAGTCAAAATCTACCTTCCTGTATTTCCTATCATTGATAAATATTAGGAGGGAGATGTCTTCTCCTTCCCCATGACAGGGTCTCTGTAGATGGGGTCCTTTCTCCCTGTCCCCACCCCTTCAGTCTCTCCCCATAAGGGTCCTATAAGGTCAAACCTGAAGTCCTTAGCAAGACATCCAAGGCACCTCCTGAGCTGGCCCCAGAGGGGCTGACCCTCCAACTTCATCTCTTGCCTCTCCCTGGCTTGCCCTGACCTCTCAAGGCACACGGAACTCTTTGTAGTTGCTGGAAGGTGCTTTGTGTTCCCTCCCTTTGCGTGTGCCGTTCGTTCCCTCTGCCCAATACACCTTCTCCACTTCTTCCCTAGCTGGCTCAGCCCAGGTGCCCCCTCCTCTGGGAAGTCCTGACCCCCCCAGGCTTTTTAGAGTCCTCCTCCTCTGTCCTCCCTCAGTCCCTGTGCGTCTCTGTGTCAGCACACAGCACTGTGGGTTGAGTGTCTGTCAGTGGATGTGTCTTTTTTATATCTTGACTTCCAGCATCCAGCATACACTTGAATGAATGGACAGACTGTGCCATTGAGTTGGACCCCACAGAACCTCGAGGGGTCTCGGGGCCTCAGGCAGAGAGGGTCACTGTGAGGGCAGCCGAAAGTCACTCACAGGCTCCTGTCAGAAGGAAGTGGCTGTTGTTCCCTTTCTAGCTGGGCCTCTTTTCTAGCAGATTCCCAGGGCAATTTGCTGTCCGAAGGTTGGTGCAGCTGCTTTTCCTGACTTCTGAATTTTCTTGAAGTGGGGTGATCCCTTCACACACTCCTAACTCTTTAAGATTGGTCACCATTTCCTTCTTCTGAGGTCACACACTTTTGGGGTGGGTTTGCCGGCTTGCTCCCCACGGACCTGTCAGCAAGAGCCCTGCACAAGCCATTCCCTGTCCGGGCCTGATTTTCCCCCCGTAAAAGGGGGGACAGCAGTATCTGTGCTGGTGCCCTTACGGTCAGCTGGATAACATGGAAGATAGTGTGTCTACGCGAGAGGCCTTTATAAACCAGGTAAAGGCTGATAGTTGAAGCCTTTCACTAAGGAACTGTGCAACCTTGGACAAGGTGTTTAACCTCTTGGCCCTGGTCACCACACCTATAAATCCTGCTAGCCCCAACCACCTGTGACTCGATTTGTTGGCCCACAGGAGGGGAGCACAAAGAGGACTCGGGCTGGAGTTCGTCGGATGCCCGGCGGGAAAGTGGCTCAGGGCCTTTCATCGACACCCTCTCGCCAGCCAGCCTGCCTTGGCCCCCGGGAAGTGCCCAGTTGGGCAGAATGGGCAGTAGTGCCCAGGGCCCACGCTCTGTCTCCGTGTCAACTCTGCCCACCTTGGACTCCCCAGCCCCTGGCCCTAGCGAGGGCCTTTCGGACACCTGCATGCCCCTGCATGCCAGTGGCCGGCTGACCCCCCGTGCCCTGCATAGCTTCATCACCCCGCCGACCACGCCCCAGCTTCGCCGGCACACCAAGCTGAAGCCACCGAGGACGCCGCCCCCACCCAGCCGAAAGGTCTTTCAGCTGCTGCCCAGCCTCCCCACGCTGACCCGGAGCAAGTCCCATGAGTCTCAGCTGGGGAACCGCATTGACGAGGTCTCCCCAATGAGGTGAGTGTTCCTGCCAGGCAGGTGTGAATTTGCTGTCTACTGAAAGTTTTGACTAAGGTGCCCCCCTCTCTCAGTCCGCTCCCCAGACTACCTTAACAGTTGGGCTGAAGCCTACTAGATTTCTTTTTGTACACATACAGACACACCCACACACACACCCACACACGTACTACACACACACACGTGAAATGATACCACGTATCCGTCAGGATAGACTGGATTATGCTGCAGTAACAAATAAGCCCTAGATCTCTGGGTCTTAGCACAATGGAGATTTATTTCTTGCTCATGCTTCCTGTCCATCCTGGGTCAGCCTCGTTCCAGCTCCTAGGCTGATGGAACACCCACTATCTGGAACACTGTCTGGAACATTCCACCATGGCAGAGGAAAAAAAGAATTTTAGATGTTACACACCAGCAGTTAAATGCTCTTTCCTGAAAGTTCGTGGCCCTACCCAAACAAAGGAACCAAGAAATGTAATTCCCCCACATGCCCAGAAGCGGAGAACTGGAAAAATTGGCTGAAACCTCTCATGATTATCAAATACCATGTACTCTGGTCTAGAACCTATTTTTTCATCTTACCTTGGTATCTCTGAGAACAGAACTTTATGTCAGTACATCTTGAAATACCTTACTCTTATTTTTTAAAAGTGTTTTATCTATGTATTTTAAATAGGTAGTAACAGTCACATGGTCCGAATGCAAAAGCTGTGTAGCTCATGTGGTTCATCTTTGTGGGGGTATGTGGTGTAAAGTCACCCTACCATTTTTCCTCAGTCACCCAGGTCCCCTTTCAGGAGCCAACCAGGTAATCAGTTTTGTATATATCCATAGTTTTTCAAACTACTTCATCTTTTTTTAACTTGGTCACATCCATTGTATAGTTTAACTCCTCCCCTGCTGATGGACATTTAGGTCATCGTCATTTTTCCTGTTACAGAGATCGCCCTTGTCAGTATACCCTGTGGGCGGGGCAGAAGGGAGGAGGGAGTTTTCTTTAAGTGCCTCTTACCTTCTTGTGCCTCTGAGGGTTGGGGCCCCTGGCTTCTCTCCTGACATGGGTACCCCTTTTCTGGTCTTGGGTGGGCTTGTTCCCCTTGTCCCAGTGCAGACTGTTTCGGGTCCCTTATGGGATGGACCATGGACATCTCTGATGGTTTTGAGTATGTCACCCAAGGAGAAAAATCCACGCTGTGACCTACCCTGCCACTCCCAGTCAGGCTATCCTGCTGGGGCCTGCAGCCTTCCTCCCCTCTGGGTCCTCTTCTCCCAGAGGACACAGCGACAACTACCACGTGGACATGGGTCAATCAGAGGGCATCTCAGTGGGCGAAACCCGGTGTGTCTGTTTCTCCTTTTCTCCTGAAAAGAGTGTGAGGAGGGTTCTGGTCTCATTCCCGGCTCTGGACAGAGAACGAGCCTCAGGCAATGACACACTTCTTCAGATCCCACAGCTCCTGAGCTGTGCCTCAGACCCTGGGATTCCGAGTCAGGTCCCCACAGAGTCCCTGGAACTAGCACTGATGTGGGCGACCAGCCTCCTGCTGCCCTTGGTGAGCCCCGAGGGCAGACCGAGTGGCCAGGGTTTTCCCCAGCTCTCTTGGTCCCTGGGGCAGCGGCACCCCTGGGGAGGTGTTGCTCAGTTTGTGTCCCCACCTGGTCCTCCTTGGGGGCCACCTTTCTGCTCTCACAACTGTTCTCCCTGCCCTCCTGCCCCATCCACTTCCTCCCTGGCAGATGCACCGCTCCTGGCAGGGCTCTGGGCAGGGCTCCCCCATTTACAGGCACGTGACCTTGGGGACTCTGCGAGCCTCTGTGTCCTCGGCTGTGAAATGGCGTGAACTCTCATTACCATGCGGGTGGCTGGCGAGGCTTAGATAAGCGGATGTAGTACAGTGCACAGCACAGTTGTAGCCTCAGGGCCCGCTGGGGGGCCCAGGGAGGCCACTTCCCATTGAGGCTCGCTCAGCCAGCCTGGCCCCATGCCCCAGAGGCTCACAGTCCCCCATCTGAGCACCTTGCTTTCTCCCTCCCAAGGGATGATGTTCTGGGGAACGTGGTGAGCCAATGTGGTGACATAATCCTCTTTCTCTCTTTTTTGTCTCTTCCAGGTTTGGTAAGAGTGATTCGTTTTCATCCCCTCTGCCACCCGGGAGTCATGTTTGTGTTGCTGTCCCCATCGGTGGAGGATTTCTGTGACCCTCTCTTAGTCCACTCGGCCTCTCTCTAGTCCAGAAGCAGAGGTGCTGGGCACCGCCGCAGGATACAGCTCTAGGACAGGTGGCCTTAGCATGATGAGGTGCCTCAGCCTAGCCAGCGGCTGCTCTTTTTGAAGCAGAGACCTTTCACGGTGTCACTGTCTGCGGGCAGCCCCCATGGTAGGCCCTGGCTATACCTTGCTGTCCCCGCAGGTGACCTCTGTGGCAGGGAGTGTTCACCTGCTGGGCGCCATCTGTCTGGTGCTGGTGGACCTTAGCCATCCACAGAGCCCAGCTGACATCTGTCTTCAGGAGAGGGACATCCCTGGAGGCAGGAATGCAGCTCGGCTCTGGTTGAGGCCCTGCGAGATTGGAGGGTACGGATGTTCAGGCAGCCCCTGACCCCCTTCCCCCACTCCACCTCCGGGCTGGGAGCAGGTTCTTGCACATGGCTGTGCTGTGGGGCTCTCTCTCCTGAGTCAAAGCAGAGGGCAACAGCCATGCATCTGGAGTCCGCCTTGGTGGACATGCAGAGATGTCTGGTTTTTGCCTGAGCAAAACAGTTTATTTTTGTACCATCCTGAGCTGGCTACGCAGTGATGGGGCTGTTGGCAGCATCTTGGCGATGAGGAGGGGGATAGTAGGCAGGGACTGGGCCAAAACGGAGCTGGCTGCAGGGCCACCGGGGAAGCCTAGGGTGAGGAAGGGACAGGCTGCTCTTGCCTCTCCCCAGGGCACAGGCAGAAACTCGCAGGGCCCTTCACAGAGCCTTAGACAATCCAGCATCCACATCCTTAGGACAGCCTGGCCCTGTCATCCTCCCGGTTGCTGTAGTAAAGCAGGAGCCACAGTAGTGAGGCAACTTCCCCAGCTTGCTTTCAGGCCAGTGTTTCATCTAGATCAGGGACAGTCTTTGCCTGGCACATGTGCCATCTCACCTCCCTCCTATCCCATGCCTGTGGCAGGCATTACAAGTCAACCATAGGTTGCGTTCAGAGATAGATGGTTGAAATCTCATTTTCCCAGTCTGTTTCTTTTAGGCTGGCGGTCTAACCCCTTTTAGACCCATGTGCTTTGATGGCTTGAGTGGGGTGGGCCCCAAGAGAGAGTTGGGGCGAGTCAGCCCCATGGCCGATGTGCTGGAGAGGGAGAGCTGCAGGTGGTATGATTGTGAAGTCCCTGATCCTCGGGGCAGCAAAGGACCTTTTGGTCCTGAGCCACCTCCCCTTGGTGTGGGAGGAGGAGTCAGTGCCTCCCATGTGCCCTTCTCCTGGTGGTTGGGAATGTGGTGCTTGGCCTTAAGTGAACCAGCACTTAATGAGCACCAGCTGTGTGCCAGGCCAGCACAGGGTGGGAGGGATACAGTAGCCTTTCTCAGGGGAGGGAGGGAGGGGACCTGCTGACGCAGAGGACACTAGATGGCCACAGATCCCCTGAGCACTGTGTTTCTGACCTTTCTGGGTCATAGGTCTCTTTGACAATTGGATAAAAGTCTAGACCCTTCTTCTAGGGAAAGGCCACAACATTCTGCTTACCAATCCAGAGGGTTCCCATACCCCCTGAAGCCCGTCCATGGGCGCAGCTGAGAACCCTTGCTCCGGGGGAGATGGGCAGTGCTCAGTACGGGCAGAGGGGGTGGGAGGAGGGGGAGGAGGGACTTGGACATGAGAGCTGCCCTGGATGGAGGGGTCGCTTCCAGCTGCTCCCCCACTGCCCGACCTGTAATGCCATAAACACTGCGGATGCCTCTTCTTATGGGGAAGCCAGGATTAGGAGAGGGCAGGCAGAAGGGGCATCTCAAAACTCGTGGCTGGAGACTTTCCCAAAGGCCCAGACTGAGTGCCAGCTGGGGCTGGGCCACGCGGGAGCATGGTGAAGCTTCACCTTATATTCGCTCTACCTGCCCAGATCTGGCAGTGGTGGCTCTCAGAGCAGAATTCTCAAGGTGCTTCTGGCTGGAAAGGTACTGAATGTGCTACATGGCTGACCAGCCTCAAACCCAAATCCGCCAAGGGTCAGACTGCTTCTACCCACTTAACATGAAGTGACCAAAATTAAGCCCTTGCAAACTGGTGCCCTGTGGGTGCATTCATGAGGGGTGCAAAAGGTGGAGGCTGTGGAGATGTCTACCCTCACCTCTGCTTTGCCTTCCGCCTCTCAAGCCTGCCTTCTGCCAAAGCTAGAAACCACACAGGGACGCCAACTGAACTGTCCACAGAGGCCAGGCCGTACCATTCGTTAGAGAAGCAGGCCAAGTGTGAGGGTAACCACGCTGCTCCCTTGGTCTCACCTGGCCTGTCCCTCTTTTAGTAGATCAGGTTCAGGGACATTTCTCTGCCTTGCAATAAGCCTCTGCACCCATCTAGCCTGTGATCTCTGAAATAGGTCATAGGCACGAACCATCCCCCGCAGGGCTTCCGCAGCCTGCCCCACCTGGCCTCTTTCCCTGCAGATCTCCCGCATGGTGGATCCCCACAGATGGTACGAAGGGACATCGGGCTGCCGGTGACTCACAGGTAGGCCCAGCTGGGCTGGGGCGGGGAGGGGGCACAGAGCTGGGCTGGGACCTGCACGTGCCGCAGCCCCCACTGAGGGGTCGCTCTTCATCGCACCGGGAATCTGTCCCGGTCCCTGTTTCTCAGGCCTCTTTGCCTCTGGTCTGTCTGTCCATCACCTGTGCTGGAGCCCCTGCCTGTCACCGCAGCCATATGGACTTGCCGGGCCCTCCCTTGCCCCTCCTTGGGTCTCTTCCTCATTCTGCTGAGAGAAAACGCTCCCTTCCCCTCCCAGGACACAGGTCCCTGGAGAAATAGGGTCACAGTCTTAGGGAGGAGCCGAGAGCTTCCTAAAATTGGTCACACATCAGAGCCCCACAGAGCTTGTTGAAAATCCAGATCCCCAGGCCCATCCCTAAGGTTCCCTGCCTGGAGGTCTGTATTTCCGACAACTTCCAGTGACTCTGGTGCTCATGCGTGTTGGAGAGGGCTGATTTGGGACCTCATGAGGCCGGTGTGTAATGCTAACCACGGGTCTGGGCGGCGTCTTGTCACCCCGGATGACCAGCACGACACCTTGGGATGCCTATGCTCTGGCCGTCCCTGTCGAAGGCTGCTGTGAACACAACAGGGAATGCTTGTCAAGAGCTTTGTGACTTGCTAGGGCTCTTCATTTCCGGGGAGTGTGAGCTGTGCTCCAGACCTGAGGGGTTGGGTAATTTGCCTGAGGTCATGCTGCCAGTAAGACAGTGCTTGAGCCCAGCCTGCTGGTGCCCGGGCACCCCTGCTCGGAGCCTTGTCAGGGCTGGGGTGCCTGTACCCCAGAGCCCCAGGGAGGAGAGTCCAGGGCACCACAGATGACCAGGTGAGGCCCTTTGAGTGAAGGTCTCGGTCATACCCAAGTGCCAAGTGTGACCTTCCCAGGGTGGTGAGAGAGCTGGACCTCTCAGAAAGTCAAGAACCCCCCTTCTCCCCCATGAGCTGCATGCCTGTGGGCAGTACCCTCCCCAAGCCTCAGTTTCTCCCTCTGCAAATGAGACTTCCAGCCCAGTCACGAGGATAAAACGGGGTCACGTGCGTCTGAGCCTCGCGTGTCCGGCAGTGGTGGGGGGTGGGGCTTGCTGTTTCTCCTCTGGCTGTCGGAGGCCGCGGTTATCGGAGGGAGAGGGACGCTGGGATCAGGTTGCTCCGTTTTGTTCCTGTCTCGGCTGCACCTGGTTTCACAGAGGCCGTGGGAGTTTGCCCCCAGGTGTTTCTCAGACTGCTGCTTCCCTCCACCTGTGGCAGCTGGTTCCCGGCGCTTTGCCAGGCTGCCCCGCCCGCCCAAGTTCTGGGCTTGGGTAGGTGATGTCACAGGCACACCTCTTGGTTTTTAAGCCCATGATCTGGGCCCCTCTCAACAAGAAGGTCTACAGGTTTTTAGTCTAGTCATAGGGGAAGAAACTGTCCCATGACCCTTCCCTGGTCTGGAAGGCTTCCTCCACCCCTCACCCCACCAGCCTCCCAGCACCTGCCCCTGCTCAGGCCCAGACCTGACTGTCCTCTCGACCTGTTTCCAGGCTCTCCTTGCAGAGGTCGTCTCAGATGCCACTGAGCTGCTCCCCTTCTCCCAGTGTTGACACGAGAGGAGATTAAAGCCTGGGGGGTGGGGGAGCGTGGGTCCCATGGAGGCAGGGTTGGGGCTCCTTAAAAGGCGCTTCAAGGAGGCAGACACCTTGTCCTAGCCCCTGGAAGCCCCCGCCATGGCTGGGTGGAGACAGTAATGTTCACACGCCTCTTCCACATTCTGGGTGTTACACATTCGCATGGCACACGTGTGATCCTCCCCCAGTCGCTGTGAGGTGGGAGCGCTGGCCCCATGTGCAGAGGCTCCCGAGCACCCCACAGCCAGTAGTCGGTGGGGTTCAGACCCAGAGCCATCTGACCCAAAGCCGCATTCTCCCTTGCGCTCTGCCTCTGTGTCCCTCTTACAGAGAAGCTGTGCAGCTCTGAATGCAGAGACCTGGGGTCCGCTCCGCTGCACAGCGTCCCAACTATGTGACCTCCAGAAAGTCACCTGACCTCTCTGAGCTGGTTTCCTCTCCTATGTACTGAGAATCCTGGACCTGCCTGACTCCCGGGGGTTTAAGAATCGAGTGAGCTAATGCTTATGGATGCATTACAAACTGCTCCTCAAATACTATTGTGGTTTGTTCCATTGGTACTATGATATACTATGCTTTAAGAAATCTATTCCTCTGGGCCGGCTTGGTGGCACAAGCGGTCAGTTGCGCGTGCTCCGCTGCGGCGGCCTGGGGTTTGCAGGTTCAGATCCCGGGCGTGCACCGACGCACTGCTTGTAAAGCCATGCTGTGGCAGCGTCCCATATAAAGTGGAGGAAGATGGGCACAGATGTTAGTCCAGGGCCAGTCTTCCTCAGCAAAAAGAGGAGGATTGGCAGCGGACATTAGCTCAGAGCTGATCTTCCTCGCACACACACAAAAAATCGATTCCTCCAAAAATGTGCGTTCTTTCTGCCCTCAGGACCCCCGCCCGCCCTGTGGACTGGCCTTGGGCTTTTTCCCTAGAAGATACCACCCACTCAACCCCATCCTTCCTTCCAATCTCTCTTTTGTGTTCTTTTATTTTTTTAAATTTTGATTTAGTTTGGTTTGAAATACATTCAAAATTCAAGAGGTAAAAAGGTATATATAAAGAAAAGTCCCCTCCCGCTCCTGCCCCAGCCCCCCAGGTCCCCCGTAGGCAAATCTTAGCAGTTTCTTGCGTCTCCCTCTGGAGATATTTTTATATAAGCAAATATATATGTATATTCCTCCACCTCTTTTTTTATTTCCACACAAATACTGCATATATTATACACATTATTCTATACTTTGTTTCCTTTTTTAAATTGGGACGTAATTTATACAGAGCTAAGTGCACAGATGAAGTTTTACATATGTAGACGCCCATGTGTACCCCCCAGATGAAGAGTCAGAGCTTTCCAGCACCCTGGAAAGTGATTGTTGGCCCTGCCCAGTCGACAGTGCTGCCACCCAGAGGGTGCTGTCCACTCTGTCACCCTAGGTTAGATCTTCCTGTACTTGAACTTCATGTAAATGGAGTCATATAGTATTGGCCCTCACTGTTATCACAGATGGTGTCATTTGGAGTTCGTTCCATACTTGCCCAGAGAGCTTCCTTATTTTGTTTCCTGGCTGCACGGTGTTCAGTTGTGTGGCTGGACCGTACTTCATGTAGTCAGTCACCTGCACTCCTGACCAGTGTGGGTTGTTTCTAGGCCTTTACAGAAATGCTGTGGGGATAACCTTGTCCATACATCGTTTGACACCCATGGGAGTATCTGCTGGGTGAACTCCTAAGACTAGAATTGCTCGCTATGCACACTTGTCATTTTGATTGCTATTGCCAGGGTGCCTGCCAGAGAGCTGACATCAGTGACCACACCAGCTTTGGGATTTTGACAGTGATGCCTTTGTGGCTGGGAAATCTGAATGCCTGGGGGGAAGCAGTGGCCCCCAGTGTCCCTGCCCTCCCTGCGAGAGGGCGCCTGCAGCTCTGGGTTGGAACCAAGTCTCCTGGTTTCCCTGGGGCTGTGTGGGGACCCCTGAGGCTCTGCTCTCCCGCCCATGTGAGCCTCTTGTGTGTGCACCCCCTGCAGGTTCTCCACCAAGTCCTGGCTGTCGCAGGTCTGCCACGTGTGCCAGAAGAGCATGATGTTTGGAGTGAAGTGCAAGCACTGCAGGTGATGGGGGAGGGCGGGAGTGTTGGGGGAGGGGAGCAATCTCGACATTTTTAGTTTAATAATAGTCCTGCTGCTTGATTCTTGGCCTTGGTCAAGTCAGAGTTCAAAGGAGTTCCCCTAAACCTGCTGTTCGTAATCCCATTCAGCACACCAGAGAAGGATCAGCCATCTCTAGGGAGATTAAGGAAGCATCAAGCAAGGCACTCCCAGAAGAAGGGGATATTTGAGGTGGAGTTTGAAGGATGAATAGAAGTTTGCCAGGTGGACCAAGGAGGAAAGAGAATTCCAGACCCAAGGAATATCTTGTACAAAGGCAGAGAGGAATGGGAGGACTATTCTGGAAACTATAAGGAGTTCTGAAGTTGAGCCTTACATTTTAGCACACAAGGGATGGGAAATGGAGATAGGCATTGGTAAGAACAGAGAGATGGTTCATGGTACTTACAAAAGAGGAGAATGGAGGAGAATGTCAATTCTCTACAATCCAGTTTTGTTTTTTCCTACCATTGTGGTTTCTGGTGGGAAAGAATGGCAAGGATAGGGAACAGTGAGGAATGATCAGAGTCCGTCCCCTGCTGTCTGGCTGCCCTCGTCTTACAGAGGGTGAACCTGGAGTCTCTGCTCCCTGCCCACTTTACCCCTGCATTGCTGTGTGACCTGGGGCAAGGTACTTGCCCTCTCTGGGCCCCATTTTTGTCATTTGTACATCTGGGAAGATGATTCTAGCTCTCTTTGTCCATCAGGATTGCTCCAAGAATCTGAGCTAGTGTGTGTAATAAAAGCCTTTGGCCTCCCACACACCACAGGTGATAGGTCTTTTGTGTGTCAGTTGGATAAATGGTGTTTCCTGATGACTCTCCCGACCACCGAGGAGATGCCAGAGCTTTCTCCCCAGTCTAGGTCCACTGTGGCGCATGCCATTTGGCTTTAAATTGGGGACCTCGGGATCCCTGTCAAGTAATGCCATTCATGCGGAGAGCACAGGGTGACCTTGAGCCTCGTGCTCTCCTGCAATGGCAGTGTGAGGGTGGTAGGGCCCCACTGTCAGCCCATTTGATGGATGGGACCCCCAAGACGTGGTGCAGCAGGCAGGACCAACCCGAGAACTCAGCCCCTTCCACTCCCGGCCACTCTGACCCTCAGACCCCCTGGCCCCATGCTGGGACGTAGTGGGAGGGGCTGCCCCTCACATCTCTGCAATGCTCTGGTAATGCAAACATTCTCCTTCCAGTTCACCTTTTATGTAAGTTCAGATTTGTCTTGAGCGTTCTGAACGTGGCGGGAGTGTCTCCTTTTCTTTAGAAAAGAGACATAGATGCGTAACCCGTACGCGTCAAGTTAAAATGGGTACAGTCAACCCCGCTTTGCTGTGAAGATGGGGTGGACAGCAGTGGGACCCGTACGCATCAAGTTAAAATGGGTACAGTCAACCCCACTTTGCTGTGAAGATGGGGTGGACAGCAGTGGGACCCGTACGTGTCAAGTTAAAATGGGTACAGTCAACCCCGCTTTGCTGTGAAGATGGGGAGGACAGCAGTGGGAATGTGGTAGTGCTCAATATACGGTAGCCGCTAGTGCTGTTAACGTCAGGATGGTCTACACTTTTGCACTAACGTTTGTTGAGAAACTTGTGGGAATGGAGGCAGTCGTGGGTGAGTGTTGCCCACGCTGCCAGCCAATGCTTGAGCCCCTCGGGGGCCCTGGGAGCCCGCGTGGCCCTCCCGGCGCTGACCCTGCCTTCTCTTCCAGGTTGAAGTGTCATAACAAGTGTACAAAAGAAGCCCCCGCCTGTAGAATATCCTTCCTGCCACGTGAGTGTTCGGACCTCTCTCCTCCGCCTTCTGAGTCTGGGTGAATCTTTCTTGAGCTTGATCTCTTCCCTGCTGATGGTTCCCCCCCTCTTTTTGAACAGTACCTAAGCTTCGGAGGACAGAATCTGTCCCCTCGGACATCAACAACCCGGTGGACAGAGCCGCCGAACCCCATTTCGGAACCCTCCCCAAAGCGCTAACAAAGAAGGTACGCTGGGGGATGGCCTGGGGGTCTGCTGCTTCTCCCAGGAGAACACCCTCCAGAATTCTTTCTGTAAAGCACCCCTAATGTGGAGGTGCAGCGGGGAGGCTTGACACATGATCCGCGATCCATGGCCAGAGGGTGGCCTTCAGGGAGTCTGTCTGTAGCCATTGAGCAGACTTCACATTTATGTCCAGATCGTAGTTACTTGCCGGGGACCCCCCTCCCCTATTTTGAGCTAATACTTCACTTACTGTGAGTCAGGAACTTGTCCATTGGTACTTCATTTGACCCTCACAATAGTTCTGAGAGGCACATATCGATATTACCTCCATTTTATGGATGAGGAAACTGAGCATGGGGTCCCCCAGGAGCGAGAGGCAGGCCCAGCCCTGGAGCCCGGGCCTCAGTCACAGTGCAGCAAATGCACCTTCAAATGTAATACACGGAAGCTCATTTCTTTACGTAGCCTGGGGTCAGGCTTCTCTGCTAGTTCAGACAGGCGTCCTCTGCAGCTAGACAGATTCTCGAAGGCCTGTGTCCCCCAGGAGGGTCCGCAGACCTGTCACGGGCCCCCGTGCACAGGTGTGTGTGGTATCTGCAAGGCACCTGTGCTCCTGGCTTCTGACAGTGGCCCCTGTCCTGGTGACCACACAGCAGGTGGCCTCGCCCCGCCCCCACACCCCAGGCTGCTTTGGGTGTTTCCAAGTGTGTTGTGTCCCAGCCCTAGACCAGGGTGTAGCGTACTTGCCTCCCTACTGAGGGGGCATGTGACGGCTGCTCCGTGGCCGTGGCTGGCCTTCAGTGGCTTGGTCCAGCCTGGATGGAGGTTTGGGCAGAGAGAAGAGGCAAATGACATGTCCAGTTGACACTGGGGACCCTGAAGATGCAGCTTGGGGGGCTGCTCCCGGAGGGTCCAGGGCCGCCTCTTATTGTCAAACAAGGGAGGCCGACTGCTCCGGACCTCATATCTCTTAGGAGCCCACTTGTGTCTTCTTTCCTGCCTCTCTGCCTGTCATCGCATTTTCCCCCGATGGCGGCATTCCTGCCAGGAATGGAGAGGTGGAGTGGAAGGATGACACGATCCACGGCCCTGGGTTTGAGTTCCAGCTGTTGCCCTTTGTTGCTTCTGTGACTTGACCTCCCTGAGCCTGTTTCCTGTCTGTAAAGTGGGGATAATAGTGCTTCATTCACAGGGTGTTGTAAGGATAACAAGATAATGTTCGTGAACTTGCTCATCAGGAGCAGTACCATCAGTCAATTGTGTTTGTTTCCTGCCTATCACAGACAGGTGCAATTCCTTGGTGGGATGCCAGGCCCCCCCAGGCTGCCACTCCCCACCTCGCCAACATTGTTTCTGTGCCTGCCGTCTCCTCTCCAGCTACACTAAGTGCATCCCCATCCTTACACTATTCTCGCACACCCCTTGCTCGCCTCCTGTCCATCCATGCCCTGGCCATTTGCTTCTGCATTTCTACCCCCCTGGACACCCACCCCTCAGCCTCCTGTCAGTTCTTCAACCCACTCAGGGTCCCTCCTCCTCACGAGCCCCTCCTGCTTGGCCCTTAACCGGCACAGTTCTGGGTGGTGCCTGACAGTCTCTCATCTCCCTGGGGGGGCAACCGAGTATCATCCTTCCGCTATCCCCCGTTTATGGTCGTTATTATAACACGAGCTCACAGGTACTCAGTTCTCACTAGGAGCCGGGCATTGTGCTAAGGGCTGTGTTTATCCCATTGATCTCACGAGGGCCGGCCTGGCCCTCTGACCTCTTCTCCAGCCACCCTCTCCACTCCTTGCTCAGACAGGCTCTGCCCGTTCCTGTCTTGGGGCTCTTGTGCCCCCTCTTCCTTCTGCCTGAAACACTCTTCCCGGCGTTCACACCACCCTCCCCCTCAGGGAGGCCTTGCCTGGACATGTCTGAGGGGTGGGCCCCCTGGCTGCACCACTCCCTTCCCAGTATGTCTCACGACCGGTCGTCGCGGGGTGTAGTCGTCTGTCTGCCTGTCTGCTGTCTGTCCCCATGCCCCCGTGTGTGCTCAGGAGGGCAGGGCCATGCTATCTTGCTCCTGCCGGGCCCCTGACGCCTGCCTTGGCACCTGGCACACAGTAGGCAGTGAGGAAACATTTGTATTGAACGTTGAGCAAATGCACAGCCCTGTGAGGCAGCAGCTGATACCCTGCTTTATAGATGACACACTGTGGCTCAGAAAGGTGGGGCGATTGGTCCAAGGTCACGCAGGGGCTGAGTGGAGGAGCTGGGATTCAGCCTGCCTCGCAGCCACTCCCCCTGCCCAGGCAATGGGATGGAGGGTCTGGGGCCTTGGAGTGTGAGCGGGGGCAGTGAGGGCTCAGGGGGCCCAGCTCCCTCCCCCGCTTCAGCCTGGCACCAGGAGGCACTAGCTGTCCCCGGACAGGGAGGCCACTGTGTCGGCTGTGGTGGTTCCAGAGTCCACACACACCCCAGGGCCCTTAGAGCCTGTGGAAGAGAAGCCAGTTGAACTTAGCATTGAACCCAACTTGGCGCCAACTCTTCTGACCAAGGCGTTCCTCCCCACTCCCTGAGGATCGGTGTGTGGGTCTGGGAAACGTGGGTCAGGTCCAGGGTCCCACCTCACGTGGAATCAGTTCCCTGTAGCCTCTCTCAGGTGGTCCTTTGGCCTTGCTAGGGCCCAACCACTGGGTGGTCCTTGCCAGCAGGTCTGCAGAAGAGTGGAGGGAGCATTTATTAGGTACCTGCTGTGTACCACACACAAAATAAACACTTGTCAGAGGCTGAATTTAATTCATGAAAAGACCCTGCCGTGAGCCTGGCTCTGAGCCAGGCACTGGGTGTGTGTGAGCAGCCGTGGTCCCTGCCCACACAGGGCACACCGTGTGGTGGGAGAGACAGTCTTCAGAAAACCGCCCAAGATGCTCGCAGTTGACAAACCTCAAACCGTAGTTCAGGTGCCCTGATGAAAATGCTGGGAGCTGTGGGAGGATAAAAAGGAGGAGCATGCTCCCAGCCAGGGCTCAGGAAAGGCTCCTGGGAGAAAAGTATCTTTGAGCTGAAATAAGAAAGAGGAGCAGGCATCCTCTAGGGGATGGGTGTTGAGGTGAGGGTCTCTCTGTGCCCTCCTTCCCTCGAGTATTAGACTGGTCAAGTATCAGGATGCCCTGGGCTGACCTGCTCATCTTTAGACGGGAAAGGGGGGATCTCGGCATGGGGGGAGGAAGGCAGGCTGGGCAGGCAGTGACCGTCTCTGCCCACCTCCCACGTCTCTGGTCCTGCAGGAGCACTCTCCAGCCATGAACCACCTGGACTCCAGCAGCAACCCGTCCTCCACCACGTCCTCCACGCCCTCCTCGCCGGCGCCCTTCCCGACGTCATCCAACCCATCGAGTGCCACTACACCCCCCAACCCCTCGCCCGGCCAGCGGGACAGCAGGTTCAACTTCCCAGGTACCACACCTCGGGGCTTTTTTGGGCCCGCAGGGATAGGGTCGGATGCCCCTTCTCAGCACACGCTGGCAGGCTCCAGGTCATACACTGCCACCATGTAGAGCACTTGCTGGGAGCCAGACACTGCTGAGCTCAAGTACCTTACTGTATTTAAACTTGGTAAAACTCTGAGGGAGATGCTGTTACTGCACCCATTTTACAGATGGGGAAGCTGAGGTTCGGAGAGAGGAATTGGCTTGTCCTGAGCTGTATAGCATGTAAGTGGCAGAGCCAGGATCCAATCCAAGTCTGACATGAAGCCTGGGTTCTTGATGTAATCACACTGCGCTCGTGTGCATGGGGTGGCTCCTCCTGGGCATAATTCACTCCCTCAGGGCTTCTGAGCTCCCAGGAAGCATGGTAGGCAGCACAGGGAGCTGGGGGAAGCCCCGAGGCCTGAAAGAGGGAATCCGGGGCTCTGTGGCTTGCCTGCTCTGTGATCTGGACAAGCTACTTAAAGGGGAGCTTTTGTTCCCTTTTCCATGAAACGAGACCACGTGAGGTTGGAATTAGGTGATCCCCTGTGTGGATGAGGACCCTGAGGCCCGCAGGAGAGTGCGTGCTGGAGCCCACCTGAGCCCGTGCTGACCTCTGACTCGACCACAGCCCCGGCTGCCCTGGGGTCTGTATGGGCTGGATCCCCCGCCTCTCGGCCAGGCCTGGGGTGTCCCGCCTCCCCATGGAGCAGAGCGAAGCCCACTCGTCCATTTCAGGACCAATCCTCAGCCTTGGCCTCCCTGACAGCTCCTCACAGTGGGTCCTGGCCCTTGGTGTATTTCAGTTGGCAGCCCGGGGGAAGGGGGGTGGCTGGGACGCTCCAGTTTGCTCCAGGCCCAGCCACAGGCCTGCTGCCAGCTTCAGCCTGTGGAGTCGGGGTCAGGCCCCACCTGTCACTGGCCCCTGGGGCTCCAGGCCCAGGAGGACAGAGGCACAGCTCTTCCTGTGCCAGGGAACCCCCGGCTGGGGCCACACACAGCCAGCAAGAGGCTGGGCAGCCTCTCTGGGCCCATCTCACCAGGGTTCCAGGGCCTTCTTTTGGGGACCGTGAGAGACCGAGATTTTGTAGGAATCTTTTTTCTCTTTTGCCTGTCCATTTGCCTTAACACGCACGTGGCTGGATATCTCCTGACACTGATGCATCGCCCGAGTGCACCCCTCCCTTCCCTGCAGTTGGGCGATGGCCCACTTGATTAACATCCTCTCCCGTACTGCTGTGTCATTATTATGCTCTGAAACCGGGCCTTTTGCTAAACCTCCTAGTTTGGGTTTTTCTGAAAGGAAGGACCTGTTTGAAAAACAACAGCCACAGAAAAAGTCCTTTGTTTGATGTCAGCCAGAGCATCTCAGCTTTCCCTGGTGTCCTCGGGCTGGGCCCTCCCTGTCCCCTGCACAGAGCCCCCACTCTCTTCAGGGTCTGTTATCTCTCTGATCATGGCAGCGCCCCGGGCTGGGCTGGTCCAGCGGTTAATCTGGGGAAGGAACTTCTGCTGTTCACCTGCTCTGTACTGTGCCGGAGCATTTCAGTTTATTCTGGAGGATAAACCTGGGGAAATTTTATACTTCCTTTTACAATATGACAACAGAGAGGTTCACCAACTTCCCAGGGTCCCAGAGCCTCATAAGTGGCAGGACTGGGGTGAGAAGCATGCTGTGTCCGAGTCCCCAGACAAGTCAGCATGTCCCCTTCAATCATCCTTAAGAGAGGATTTTTCCCCCCTAGTGGTGAGACCCAGTCACTGAAGCCTCAGCTCCTCCGGGTGTGAATGTGGGGTCGAGGGGGAGACCATTCTTCTGCACACAGCACTATTAAAACGTTTTCAGAATCACAGTTTTTATCCCCGTTGTATTTCACTCTCCTGGGCTCATGCACATTTCACAGAGGACAAGTGGGCCTGGGAGGCGAATAGCTTCCACCCGGGCTCTGCAGCAGGGTGGCTGCGGGGACTCGTCTCCAAACCCCAGTCCTCCAGTGCGAGCCCCTCTACTCCTGGGGCCTCCTGCTGGCACCTGTTTTTCCCCAGCTCTTTTCTCCTTCCTGCATGAATCACCCTGTCCTGGCCAGGCCCACCCGGGGCAGGGCAGGTGGGGGGTGCTGCCACAGCCCGATAACCAGCCCCTCTCTCCCAAGCCCATGCCTGTGTCGCCTCCTCCCTCGCTGCGTTTGCTGTTCTGTGTGTGTGACTCACCTCCTCTTCTGTTTAAAGCTGCCTACTTCATTCATCATAGACAGCAGTTTATCTTTCCAGGTGAGTCGTTTGCATGGTCCCACTAACTGCACCTCGCCGTGACCCCCTCTGTCCAGCCCACCTGGGTGCCCTCTCCCTGGGCATCTTGAAGGCGCTTGAGCCTCACACCCACCTGTTTTGAGAGCTGACTGACTGTCGAGGCTGGGCAGGGGGGCAGGAGTAGCCTTGAGGCTGGCCCTCCACAGGGGCAGTGCCTTGCTGGGAGGGACCTCGGCATCCATCCTCTCTGGCCTCTTGCACAGAGGCTGCAGGCAACTTGTCCAGGGTCACACAGCCAGGAAGTGGCAGAAACTCAGTTTGCAGCATGGGGGGAAAGGACTTTTTGCTGATGCCTTACGAGCATCTGTCACAAAATCTTCCCCTACATAATGACAAGGAAACTGCTACGCTATCTTACAGAAGGGGAAGCGAGTTTGGGAAGGTCTGCCGGCTTCGCTCACTCAGTGGGCTTCGCTCCAGAGCCTTGCTGCACAGCGCCATCTGCTGGCCATTGTTGGACATGCCCGAGTGCAGAAAGTTTAAAGCAAAAACTTTTCAACTCAGTAAGATGATCTCGTTCCTTCCCTTCCGCAAAACTTGTTTTGCACACCTGCTCCGTGCCAACCTTTGCTTTTGACCATATCCTGCCTCTAAGGAGTTTATACGATAGGTACTTATTTTTCTAGCTGAAGGTGACAAGCTGCAACTTTCTTTTTTTTTTTTTTTGGTGTGGAAGATTAGCCCTGAGCTAACATCTGTTGCTAATCCTCCTCTTTTTGCTGAGGAAGATTGGCCCTGGGCTGACATCCGTGCCCATCTTCCTCTACCTTATATGTGGGACGCCACCACAGCATGGCTTGGTAAACAGTGCATAGGTCTGCGCCCGGGATCCAAACCTGCGAACTCCAGGCCGCCAAAGTGGAGCGTGCGAGCTTAACCACTACGCCACCCGGCCGGCCCCAGCAACTTTAATTCTTAATTGAGCCATGTGAAGGTTCTGTGTGTTTTAGACAAAGACGGTAGCTAGTTGTTTTTTTCCTGGGTTAAACAGGCCTGTCTTGAAGTCATGGTATTTTGATTATTCCAGGCTTTTCTATCCCACAGCCCAGCTCCATGAGGGGAGTGACGTGGAGCATGCGTTAGTCCTTACAGGACCACCCATGTGGTTTTGCAGGCGTATGCAGGCTGGCTGGGCTCCCTGAGCTGCCTTTGTGGCTTCACACCCATTTTTGCTGCGGTCCCCACTCCAGGAGTCTTCCTGTTACTGGCTCTAGGATGGCGTACAGGGGAGCACCCGAGAGCATTGGGAAAACGTGGCTCTTCTTCCAGAAGGGTCTATCTTACTCTGAAGATATGTCAAAGGGGAGGGGAGGGGAATATATTTCTATTAAAACAAACATGGACACATTTTGGAGCAGATTGCGAAACACACTCTTTTTTTTTTTTTTTTTTTTGTGAGGAGGACTAGCCCTGAGCTAACATCTGATGCCAATCCTCCCCTTTTTTCTTGAGGGGAAGATTGGCCCTGAGCTAACATCCGTGACCATCTTCCTCTACTTTATAGGGGACCCCGCCATAGCATGGCTTAACAAGCGGTGCGTTGGTGTGCGCCCGGGGTTCCGAACCTGCAAACCCCGGGCCGCCACAGCGGAGCGCACACACTTAACTGCTTGCGCCACCGGGCCGGCCCAATCATACTCTTGATAGTTAAGGAAAAGTATGAGACTTAGAGACATTTTGCCCTCCCCCTTGGGGTTCTGTTTCTCCCTGAACCCCCACCTCTTCACCCCCTACACGTGTGTGTTTCTTCTATGGAAACATTTGAGCAGCCTTGGAGGGGTAGAAACATCAGGCCGCCCCTGGAAGTCTGTGGACTCAACGTTGGGGTGTCTGGAGGAGGCCTTGGCAGAAGCTTCCAGGGGCTGGGATCCCCCAGAAATTGTGCACAGGAGGTTGCGTGCATGTGTGCATTTCCCTAATAGGAAGGCCCACGGCCTCTCTCAGATTCTCCAACTCTGTGGGGTCACAGAGATGTTGAGAACCCTGGTTCAGAGGACCTTCAGGGTGGCCTTGGAGGAAGCCCTGGAGGGAGGTGGAGGGAGGTTTGATGGCCGATGGGGAGGCTGTTTGTCCTAGAAGGCAGGGAGAGGCCGCTGATTAGCTGGAGCCACTGCCACCTCCAGTCTCCTTTTGCTGAGAAAAGGAGGGCCCACCCGGCCCTGGGGCCGCGGCCTCCCTGAGTGCAATTAGAGGGGGCTGGAGAGAGCAGAGGCAGCGGCAGAAGCAGCCATGGAGGGTTTGGCCAGTAACACGTTGGTTCCACACTGGGGTGACCATCTGTCTAGTGGTCCCCGAATGAAGCAGCCATGGAGGGTTTGGCCATTAACACGTTGGTTCCACACTGGGGTGACCATCTGTCTAGTGGTCCCCGAATGTGGGACTTTCAGTGCTAAAACTGGGAAAGCCCCTCACTGCGCAGTCTTGGGGCCCCTGATGTGTAGACTGTGCGTTTCTTCCTCTCCCTTGAGACCTAAACCCAGAAGCTGATGGCTCGCACCAGAAATTCCCAGCAGCTGTGCCAGGCACCAGGTGTCACTAACGAGCCACCTGTGAGGCCTGCCTCCTGCCTCTGCTGGTCTGAGTGAAGGAGTCTCACCAGTTCCCGGGTTGTTGCAACTAGCCCCTGCCTCCCAGCAGAAGGGGGGCCTAGCCCACGTGTCCAGTAAACAGTAGCCCGGTTTGCTTTTACAACTTGCTTGTTCAGGGCTGCTTGGCCGCAGGGGAGTGGTGTTAACCAAGAAGCCTCAACCTCCCCGCCCACCTGGAGTCCCTTCCCGGGGCAGAGCTGTGTGGACAAAACCAAGAGCTGGGGAGGCTGCGTCCATGTTGGGTTTCAGGAAAAGCAGAAGTCAGCCCGAGTGGAAGTGGCCTGGGGAACACGCGTGCAGCCCGTGCGGGCCTCTAGGGAGGCCCCACTGCCGTGTGTCCAGGGTTTGCAAGCACTGCGTCCTTTGCGGGGAGTGGGCCGGTGGTCTCATGCTATGTGTGCGCTTTTGTTTCCTCCAGACATTTCAGCGTTTCCACAGGCGGCCCCGTTCCCCGAGGCAGCGGACAGCACCCGGTAGGTCCCTGTGCTCTGTCCCCTTGCTCCTCCGTGGAGACTTGTTGAAGCTGACCCACATCCCCGAGCAGCTTCCACCCTGCCTTGAAATCTCTCCCCTCCCACTCTGGACGTTGCCATGTAGCTGGGCCAGCCTGGGGGAGACTCCTTGGGCTCATTCACCATCTGGACCAGTGAACTCAGCCAGAAGGGTTTTATTTGCCTCCCTTTGGGGCAGTCACCATTGATTGGGGCTGTAAACCTGGAGCGGTCTCGTGACCCGGGAGGGAAGGGCAAAGGGCACTCAAGTTAGAGAAACTTTCTAAAAATAGCTCCTGTTTATGGGGCCCGTTTTCCATGTCAGGCCATGCTGAGCACCTGACTCACGTTCCCTTGTACGGTTCTCAGCCTGATGAAGAAGGTATTGAGGTAGATGTCATCCCAACCTGCAGATGAGGAAGCCAGCCCAGAGAAGTTAAGAAATTACATCAAGTCACACAGCTAGGAAGTGACAGAACCAGTGATCAAGTAGAATTTCAAGTCCTGTGCATATGCTCAGAACCCTCGTACTGGGTGTCAGATTTGAAAGAGCCTTAGTGCTTACTGCCCACCCCTCATCCCCCACCACCCTCAGGTTAGTCTGGGGAAGGCCGAGGCCGAAGAAGGGAAATGGGGCCTTGTCCTCAGCCTCCTGACTGTTTCCACAGCATCCAGACTGCCTTTCCCCCAGCCAAGTGGGTCAAAGTAAGAATCCAGGCCTGGTGGCCCTGTCCCAGACCTCACACGGGGAGTCCCCTGCCCAGCTGAGAGCCAGTGGCCCACCCTCAGGGTCTCCGTGACAAACCCTGTTTTACTCCTAGGCTCGATGACCAACCAAAAGCAGACGTGTTGGGGGATCATGAAGTGGAGGTGAGTGAGGGTGACACTCAAGCTGTGGACCGTGCCTTCTCTCTCCTCTCCCCGTCTCAGCATGCACAGGGGTCTGGGGAGTGTGTGGGTGCCAGGCCGTTGTCCCCAGGGTCTGCTGCAGCCGACACGGGGAAGAACAATGAGGAACGCACGAAGCAAGCTTCCTTTTGCTTTTCTGGTCTTGAGGCTAAAGTAAGCTCTTAACTCGCATGGTTCCCACTCCCAGCCCCAGCTCTGGAGACTCTACTTCAGTCAGGCTGGGGTGGGCCAGGTATCTGTATGTTGTCAAAGCTCCCCACATGAATCTGATTGTAGCCAGGGCCAAGAACCCCTCTCTTGACCCTTGACCCAAAGTGTCAGCTGAGCCTGGCTCCCTGCGATGCAGTGTGGCTTAGAGAACCTTAGCCGACTGATTTATTCCTACCCGGAGGAGAGTCAGAAACTCTGTTTAAACAAACGGATATGCAGAAAGGATGATGCGGTGAAGTTCTTCATCCTAGGGGATGTTAACGCTCTTCCCTAGTGATCGGATATCTCTGATAGAGATCTCGGAGCGGAGCGCTAGTGGGAAGAAGGGCCTCAGGGCCCAGCTGGGCCAAGTACCATATTTTGATGAGGACACTGAGGCCCTGTGGTGCCAAGTGACCCACCCACTGTCCACAGCAAGCCAGTGCAGAGCCTGACTAGAACCCGGGCCTCTTGACCCCATGCCTCTCGCCTCGCTTACCTGGCTGGGGCTCCAGGGAAGGGAAGTCAGCTGAGCCCAGATCTGCTGCCCACTCCATTCCTTCCTCTTCTCCTTCCAGGCTGAGGAGCCGGAGGCCGGCAAGTCCGAAGCAGAAGATGACGAGGACGAGTTGGACGACTTGCCGAGTTCTCGCCGGCCCTGGCGGGGCCCCATCTCACGCAAGGCCAGCCAGACCAGCGTGTACCTGCAGGAGTGGGACATCCCCTTCGAGCAGGTGGAGCTGGGCGAGCCCATAGGGCAGGGCCGCTGGGGCCGGGTGCACCGCGGCCGCTGGCACGGCGAGGTGGCCATCCGCCTGCTGGAGATGGACGGCCACAACCAGGACCACCTGAAGCTGTTCAAGAAGGAGGTGATGAACTACCGGCAGACGCGGCATGAGAACGTGGTGCTCTTCATGGGGGCCTGCATGAACCCCCCCCACCTGGCCATCATCACCAGGTGACCCAGCCCCCGGCCCTCACTGGGGTGGCCACCTTGCCCCCGTCTTCTCTGGGGGGCCTCTTACTTGTGTGGACTCCCTGGAGGGCATGGGCGTTTTAATGTAGACAGGTACAAAGAAGAAAACCAAAAATGAGTATAATTTCCCCATGCACACAACCCCATTGACGTTAAAATATAAATAAATAAAATGATACCTTTCCAAGGAGAGAGGAAATTCAAACGTTCCAGAAAAGTACAAAGTGAAAACCAGTCTCCTCCCACCCCAGCTGGGTGCTCCTCCCCAAAGGCAGATACTGTAACCAGTGCCTTATCTTGCCTTCTGCTAAGATAAAGTTTCCCTGTACTCATGGTTTATAACTATTTATCTATTCCTTTGTAAAAATACACAGCAAAAATCATACTGGTTCACACCTTGCTTTCGTCACCTGAATGCAGAGCTGAGGTCTACTGTATTCTTGGTGATACCTGCCCAGTGTTCCCATCACCTAGTTGAACCTAGTGGTGTGCTGGTAAATGTTTAACAACCAGCTCTCGGGTGATGGGGACGGAAGCCCTGGTTTATGGCATCTGTCAAGTCCTGTGGTGTAAGTACTCTCACCACCGTTGATTTCAAGCTACCGACATGATGTCACTGAGAGTGGAGTGGATTTGGGAAGACAGTCACACAGCTGGGCTCTGGGCCCTCTCTCTGGCCATCCCCTGATTTATTTAACCGGTCCTCTTTTGCTGGAGGCTTTGTCATAATGAACATCCTCATCTCCATATCTTGGTGAACTTCTGTGAGTATATGTGCTGGGCTGGGTCAGAGTGTGCGTACGTCACGATTTCATGTCCATCGACTGTTTCTACTCCAGGACGTGTTCATCAGTTTCCTCTCCCACTGTCAGTGTATGAGAGTGTCATTCGCCCAGAGCACCAGGGGCTGTGAAACGGGCAGATTTTTGCCCATGGCATTGAAAAAGTTGTTGGGTGTTTACTTTTAAAATCAGGAAAAGCAATATGAGGCTAGTGAAATTTTGGAAGATACGTGGAAGTGTCAGGAAGAAACTAAAAATCACTTTCGTCCCATCAGCCATGAGAACCCTCATTAATATTCTGATGACATTCTCTATAGCTCCACCCTGTGCTTTGAAAAAACATTCTCCTCAAACTGTATTTACTAAGTAAAAATTAATTTCCATTTTGCTTATTTATCAGATTAGTCACCACCCACCAGAACTCGAGCAATGTGAGATCACCAGGTCACCACACCAAAGGGACAAAATTCCAGCCCAAAGCAGGAAAACTTGATGCTTTAGGGCACCTTACTGTGGTTGTGCCAGCTCCAGGACCCCCAGCCTCCCAGCCCCTAGTCGCTGTCTGTCCACCCATCCTTCCCTCTCTCTCTCATCCACCCAGTTCTCTAAGAGATCAGAGTCTGCTTAAAGGGAAGACATAGAATAGAATAGCAAAACATTCGTTAACAAAAAACGTAACGTGTTTTAGAATATGGCAGGGGGACTGGAACATAGGTAAGGAACCATCAGCCGATATTCCAGACCCCTCGCCCGGTTCTCAGAGTCTCTAGGCTCTCAGAATATTATCTCCTTGGAGACTTTCCCTAAAAAACTAGCCCCTTTTCTTGGATGGTTTAAGTCAGCTTCTCCCTGGAGCAGGGAGCGAACCACACATTCTCTCTGGGTCCTTCCTCACCCTGGGTTTTAGGAGTCAGTGCAGGCGGAGATCCCAAAACGTGAGCCCCTCGTCCAATAATAGCTTTGACATCCCTGACAGCCACCCCCACACCTTCCCCCTCCTTGCACAGCCCTTAATTACAGTAAAATCCCTGTGATCAGAAAATAATAAAAACCATCATGAAAATCATTACAGTGAGCTCTGGAGCCCCAGTGTTGCCTGGTTATAGCCCTAAAAGGCCAGATTCTTCCCTGTTGGGAGTTTGAGGCGCTGTGTTCCTGCCGTGAACCCCCGGAGGGTGGGCTGCTCTGATTGCCAGAAGCCTTGGTAAACTGAGTTTCCTGTTCTAGGGAGGGCAGGCCCTGGGCCTCAGGGAACGGGGTGCACATGCGTGTTTTTGCACCTTCAGCACAGGCCCCAAAGGAATGGGCATCAGACTTGGTTAAGAACAAGGATTCTGATGCCCGTAGTCCAGGGGATGGGGAGAGCCCTCCAGAGGCCAGGGACACAGCTCCTCCCAGGGTCCAGGAGGGCTGGGATCGGGCCTCACTGGCCCAGACCTCTGCCTGACCCCACCACTCTTGACAGCTTCTGCAAGGGGCGGACGTTGCACTCGTTTGTGAGGGACCCCAAGACGTCTCTGGACATCAACAAGACAAGGCAGATCGCTCAGGAGATCATCAAGGTAAAGGGGTATCCGACTGGTCCCAGAGGTCCTGCCTGTCCCCCATTCTGTCTGCCTGTCTCACGGTGGTGGTGGCTGCTCTGTCTCTCCCTTTAGCTGGGGCACCTCAAGGGAGGGACCCCATCTCCTTCCCTCTGTTTGGGTCTCGTCGTGGGGCCGAGAGCTGGACACTGCTCAGCGTTGATGGAATTGAATTGGCTGGGGAGGATGCAGCAGGCTTTAAAGACCGATGGCCTGAGTTTGAATCTTGGTCAGCTGTGTGACTTTGGGCAGATCATTTCGCCTCTCTGAGCCTTGGCTTCCTCCCCTGTAAAGTGAGGATAACAATGTACCCTCCCTCACTGGATTGGTGCAAGTGAAAATGGGATAATCCGTGGAGAGGCCTTGGGCACAGGGCCAGCACTTGGTGAGAGTCTGTTAGAATTGGTGAGGGGGGTGGGTGCTACTTCCAGGGGGCGTGACAGCACCCCCACTTTCTGCCTTCGAGTTTCTAAATCAAAGTTTCATGAGGACAGACCCTCAGGTTCAACTTGGGCAGCCTTTTTTCTTTCTTTCATCTTTTTTTACATAAATAAAAATGAAAGAAAAGCTTATTTGTTTCTTTATTGAGCAACAAGCCCAAATAAAAACTGGAAAACTGCTGGGTAGGGGTTCCTGTTTTTGTTGAAAAGCTTTCTCTTACCAGCTCCCACCAAGTTTTTGCCTCTTTCCTGTCTTTCCTTCCTTTTCTCCTGGCTTCGCTTCTTTTTCTCCCTCCCTCCTTCTGTCCGGTTTATTTGAGTGTCTTTAGAAGAGAAAAGATAAAAATCACGATGACTTTTATGGACAAACTGAGATTTCCACATTGACATTTCCATGGGGCTAAACTAGTGAATTAAACTTTTGAAGCCCCCCAAACCAAAATATCACCCTGATGCCTTCGTTTGCAGTCTGTCTCATTTCAGAGAAGGTGGAGGGAGCTGCAGTGTCACAGCCATTTCCCGTTGTCCCCAGACTTGCCAGACCCTGCTCCTCCTCTGTCCTCCCCCCACTCTGCCTCCTCCCCCAGGCTGTTTTCTCTCCTTGTCGTGAGAGCACTGGGGGAGTCTGTCTGGTTGCTGACTGGCTGAGTTGGAATGAATGAGCCATCTGGAAGATTCCAGAGCAGAAGAGAAAAGTTACTCAGAGGTTTTGGAGCTGCAGAGCCGGAAGCCGCCTCTGCTGGCTTTTTTGGTTTTAATCCTGCTGAAAAACCATGTCCTTCCCCTTCTGCTGAGAACTTCTGAGCCACTTCCTTTTGTATGTGTCTCTGATGTTTTGGGGCTCAAAATATGATAAAGGGGCCTGACCTTTGGTTAGAGGGTTTGCAATTTTGTGGCCACTCTGGGATCCCCATGCAGGTATGGGAAGGGAGGAGAGTCTGTGTTCCAGGCCCTTGACGCTTTATATCTTGTCTCTCTTTATGTTGGCCTTTTGAGGCTGTGACATGTATTTTATAAACAAGGCTCAGAGAGGTACAGCGACTTGTCTTCAGTCACATAGCTGGTCTGTGTTCAATCCAAGGTGGGGTCTTTGGCTCTCTTTGGCCCCTGAGGAAGGCTTGAGCCTTGGTTTGGGTTGGGAAATGGGCAGATGTTTTAAGAAGGATCGTCTTAACGTTCAGGATGGAGTTTTGGGAAGGAGCAAGTCACTGTTTCTGAACTCACTGCTTCCATGGCAGGATGCCAACTCTCCGCAGGCCTGAGGGAAAGGTCCACAGTGGACCCCACACCCTCCCATCTCTCGCAGGACAGCATCTGCTTTGTGAAGATTCTTCTCTGACGCTGTCCAAACCCACTTGGATCGAGCTCTGGCCTCGGCTGAGTTCTGTCTGGTTCTGCCTCACGCTCGTTCTTTCTATTTCCTAAACATGGCCTGTTGTTTACCTTTCTCTCCCTCACTCGAGACTTCTCAGGATGTATGAAGCACTCTGAATCACCCCAGTGGGAGACTGGGAGGTGGATTTACACGTGCCTCTTTCTGAGTCGGCAGGGACGGCCATTTCAGTCGTGGATCTTGCCCCTGTTCCCAAGGGCATCAGGGCACACGGGAGTCCTGGGTTTGGCGTTAGAAGACAGCTTTGACCTTGGATGAGGTCATGCCTGTGTCAGGTCACCCGTGTCCCACACACCTGGCCAGTCAGTGTTCAGTCCAAATAGAGCGTTGGTTAGAAATCACCCACCCCTGCCCTTTCCGTTGACAGACGAGGAAACTGAGGCTCAGAAGTCAAGTGTCTAAGTCCACACAGTGAATTAGAATCCGAGCTGAGATGGAACTCGGACCCCAGATTTCAGTCTCAGTCCAGGACTCCTTCGAGCACAGGTATTGGGACCACCTGAACTCAGGGACTCCCTTTGTGGGAATTCCTCTCTGTTCCCCACCTGAGCCCTTGCCCAGCCTGAGGGTAGAGGCCAGCTGTGCAAAGCCTGATAGAGACCCCAGATCACTCAGGTCCTTTATGACTTAACATGGATGGTATTGCAGGGAGGAAGACATGAGACAGAATAACAGGAGAAAGTCAAACAAAGCTTAATAACGTGGATACGTGGGAGAAACCCAGGAAATCTGAGTAACCGGCCAAAATGGCTAAAGCCACCACCTTAAATACCATCTTTAGTTAAAGACAAAGGAGGACATTGGGGGTAGTGATTTGGGACTTTAAAGCGGAGGAAGGCAATTGACATGGAGATGGAAAAGCAAATGTTTGATAAATGTTTGCTGGGCCACCTATAAACAGTGTGACTCAAGAGAGAGAACTTTGATAAAAATGGGCCTAGCAAGGTTCCTTCCAGTCTACCACACCCAGAGTCATCTGTGGTGATAGCTCCTTCCTGGGACAGGCCTTCTTTCTTAAATTCTTTTAGGCAGTTAGGGGAAAGGTCAGAGTTTCTGAGTCTTTTGTTCTTAAAAATAATCAAGCTAAAGGGACATGTTTTGGGATGGCAAATTCTGATCCCCCACAGTATCATTACCCTCCCCCACCCCCCAGCTCCCCACCCATCACCTTCTCCACACCTCACACCTTTATCCAAGTATAAGGTGGGTGTTGGACAGCACGGTGGCATGGAAAGAGCATGGACTTGGCTGGAACCAGATCTCAGCAATGCTACTTAACTGCTGTGTGGCCTGGGGCGGGTGACTGCCCTCTCTGAGGCTTGGTTTCCTCACCTGTAAAATGGAGACCCTTATGCTGCATAGCACTGTGAAGATTAAATGAGGGGATCTGGGTAAGGGATCCAGCTCAGTGCCTGGCCCAGGGCAGAAGCTAAGTCATCATCACTCACTTCCCTCCCCGCTGATGTGAGGCTCGCTGTCTTCCAGGGCATGGGATATCTACATGCCAAGGGCATCGTGCACAAAGATCTTAAATCCAAGAACGTCTTCTACGACAATGGCAAAGTGGTCATCACAGACTTTGGGCTGTTCGGGATCTCGGGCGTGGTCCGAGAGGGACGGTGAGTTGGCCGTGGGCTTCTGGACAGAGAGGAACTGGGCGGTGCTGGGTGGGCCCGAGATCCCCCTGAGGTCTGGGCACTCTTGCTGTCTGTTGCTGAGGGGCAGACGTCCCTGTAGGAGAGGCCAGGTTTGCTTTGTCCTGCCCTTGTGGTTCTGGTCCAGAATCAGGCTTGGGTGACGTTTAGGTCCCTCATAGCACTTGGTTCTCAGGCTGACTGACCCCCACGGAGGCTAGGCCCCCTCACTCGCATTTTCCCTGTATGCTCACCGACCTGGGCAGGGGACCAGGGTTCACATCCCTGTCATGAGGAAGAGCTTTAGGTATTATTTCCCCAAATCTTGAAGGGGTGGCGGTGGGGAGAGAGGCTCTTCCCCAAGCATCGGGGTACCCCCAGGAGGGAAAGTGGCAGCCAGGCTGCAGAGCCAGCCCCAGGCCAGGTGGTGAGGTCTGCAGGCAGATCTGATTTCCTGCATGGAGAGGTACTCCACTCTCCCAGGGTGGAGAATCAGGCACCTTCAGGTGCGGCTCCCTGCTGATGCCCGTTCTTGGCCTGCTTTCCTAGAAAAACCCGGTCATCACTCTCTTGTAACATTCCTCAAAGTGCCGGTGCCTTTGCAAGTGCAGGGTCAGCATGCTGCTTCCTGGGCCGTGCGTGGGTGGCGTGCCAGCCCTGGGGCAGGTGTGTGCCAGGCGGGTCTCTTTGCTGCTGGCTGAAGGCCTCGTGTCCTTGCCCTGGCTTCTTGGCCTCCAGGCGAGAGAACCAGCTGAAGCTGTCACACGACTGGCTGTGCTACCTGGCCCCTGAGATCGTGCGTGAGATGACGCCTGGGAAGGACGAGGATCAGCTGCCGTTCTCCAAAGCTGCTGACGTCTATGCATTTGGGTGAGGAGGCCCCTGGCATCCCTCCTCCTGAGGCCAAGTGTGGCCAAAAGAGAGGGTCCTGCTGGCAGCAGGGCAGGGGAGGCGTGCTTTGAGTCCTGGCTCTGCAGCTGGTTGTGTGAGTGACCACACCCTGGGCCTCCTGTTTCCCCACCTGAATGGAAGAATAATGCTACCTTCCTGATGGAGTTGTTTCGTGGGGACTGAATTAGGTAATTGTATAAGATGCTTACCCTGGGCGTCAGTCTCATCCATCGTCCGGTGAGGATGCTCACCAGACATAACCAAGAACTGTCCTGGGAGAGTGGGGAGTCCTGCCAGCCAGCCTCTAGTGCCCCCCGAAGAGCTGGGGTGCTGACCAATAGGAAAATAGAGATATAATGTGAGCCAGATATATAACGTTTTCTTTTAGCTACATTAAAAAAAAAAGAAAGAAGTGAAATCAGGTTTTGTGTGTGTGTGTGTGTGTGTGTGTGTATGTGTGTGAGGAAGGTGGGCCCTGAGCTAACATCTGCCAATCCTCCTCTTTTTTTTTTTGCTGAGGAAGACTGGCCCTGGGCTAACATCCATGCCCATCTTCCTCCACTTTATATGGGACGCCACCACAGCATGGTTTGACAAGTGGTGCGTCAGTGCGCACCCGGGATCCGAAGCGGCGAACCCCACGCCGCTGCAGCAGAGTGTGCGCACTTAACCGCTTGCGCCACCGGGCCGGCCCCCTGAAATCAGTTTTAATAATGTGTTTTATTTAATTCAATATATCCAAAATATTATCATTTCAACATGTTATCCAAATAAGAAAATTAGGGAGGTAATTTACCCTACAAAGTTTCTGAAATCTGGTGTATATTTTATGCCTATAGCACACCTCAGTTCCACTGCCCATGTTTCAGTTGCTCAGTGGCCCCACGTGGCCCATGGGCAGCCCAACGTTAGACAGTGCGGGTCTCATGGAGAAGGTACCATCTGGGGGAGTCGAGAAAGGCCAGGGGACGTCGAGAGGCTGAGTGAGGGCCGCTCGCTGTCACCCCTCTGGGCATCTCTCCATCTGGGGTGGTCTCCTCCTCCCTGACCTTTAACTGCTATCCCCTTAACACCCGTGTGTGCCAGGCGCTGGGCGCGGCATTTCTGTTACTACTCAGACAACCTTGGAGGGAGGTATCAGCCCCGCTGAGGTTAAACAGTTGTACCAGGATCTCTGTTCAGAGCCTGCGCCGCCTCAGACTTTCCACCACGGTGGGAGCGCAGGGCCATGGATCGTGTAGTGCCCGGGAGGAGCCTCCAGGACGCTGTCACGGCAGTCCCTGAAGCCTGGTGGGTGAGGAAGGCTGGAGAAGGATCCTGGATCCTCTGGCTGGGCCCCTGGCATTGCGGCAGCAGAAGCCCCCGGGCGTGCGCTGGGGCGCAGCCGTCCAGGATCTCATGCCGCGTGGGTGGTCTCCACAGGACTGTTTGGTATGAGCTGCAAGCAAGAGACTGGCCCTTTAAGAACCAAGCTGCAGAGGCCTTGATCTGGCAAATTGGAAGCGGAGAGGGAATGAAGCGTGTCCTGGCCTCCGTCAGCCTGGGGAAGGAAGTCACTGTAAGTAGCCGCTTGCTCTCGGAAAGGGGAATAGGACTAGAGGGTGGGGCCCAGGCACGTGACATGGCTGCCCCAGAGGCAGTCGTGTGTCGGGCAGACCTGTTTGCTGTTGGCTAAAAGGCCTGTGTCCTTTATCGCCCCCACTGTCAACCATTTTCTTTAAAAAACCATTATCTTAAAAAAAAAAAAAAAGAAAAATGGTAGGAAATAAAGATAATGGTTTTAGTTGAATTAAGAGATGAAAAGATAGTAAATAGTAAAGCCCTGTAAGTTACTAACATGAAAGAAGATGATAAGAAATAGTCACTACACAAGGTACGAACAGTGGGATTATTGTAGTATCAGGTCTTTCTCCTTAATGTTTTTCTCGACTGTTCAAGAACAAATCAAAGTTTCCACGGCAAATTTGTTTTCAAAATGCCAAATCGTAATCCAGCTGCTGGCCTCACGTTACTGAATACCTGTCATGGTTTCCCTGCATTGCACTTGTAAGTTTCCTTGCCCGGGCACAGTGATGCATAAAGGACCCGGGGTCCATGTCTTCAGTGTGGTCAGTGATCACCACGTGTTTGGGCATCAGAGAGGACTGGAGCACGTAGGGGCCAGCCTGGGTGTTAATAAGGAGCTCCAGGTGCTATCTGGGCAGCCTAAGGATGGAAGCATCTGGAGGGATCACCTGGCACCTGTCCAGGTCAAGAGCTAACTAAGCTGTGAATTTCATGTTGAAGTCATGAACGGTGTTGGCAGGGTCACCATCTGCCCTATCACGTGAGCATTTTCTGCCTGATCGTTTGTGCAGGCCTATTTTGTCACCATAGTTCTCCTGAATCGAAGCGCTGAAGGGGTATGCTGTGTACATGCATGGATCCTGGGAGCAGGCAGCAAAAGGCCAGATGAGAAGGGCTTTCCTCTGGGGGCAGGCTTTCCCCTGACTCTCACTGCTGCCCTGTGTGTGGTCCTTGTCACTCCAGCCTCCATTCTTGTGACACTGAGTCCTCTACCTCCGTTGCAGCCTCACCCTGCACACATTCTGAGCATCTGCATGTCACCTATCAACACGCTGCCTTCCGCTTTCCATTCTAAAAATCAACAACCCATTTCTGATCTCTTTCCTATTACCTGTTTATTCAACTTTGTTACTGTTAGTCCATGGGGGTCTAAGAAGGAAGGAGGGGAGACAGGCTCATGTGCTTCATTTTGAGCTGGAAGCATGAGAACTCTTCTGAAAGTCAGTTATTTCTCAGCCCTCCTTCAGCAATGGCCAGTCATCTCAACGTCGGCAGGATGTTCACGGGACCACCAGCTGGGGGTACTTAAGAGCATTGAAGGGACCCTGTGCAGAGCGCTCCAGCCGTGCCCTCCTCCCTCCCAGCCAGCTCTCACACCCACTGTTGCCTGCTGCATTTGCAGGAGATCCTGTCTGCCTGCTGGGCTTTCGACCTGCAGGAGAGGCCCAGCTTCACCCAGCTGATGGACATGCTGGAGAGACTGCCCAAGTTGAACCGACGGCTCTCCCACCCTGGACACTTCTGGAAATCTGCTGAGTAAGTACCCCCTCAGTGAGGCAAACCTGCCAGCCAAGCATCCTAGAGGGCACCGTGTGCTCTGTCTGCCTAGGACTTTGATCTGGGGAATACCAAAGCAGACTAGCCAGAGGTGACTAGTCCCCTCACCCAAGAGATGCTAGGATTTCGTTCACCTCATTTATTTTGGAGACTCCTTTTGACAGGCTAGTGTCTCTAGTTCTCCTCTGTGAAAACCTCCATATCACTGTTAGCAGACCAGTGCTGACACTGGGCCCAGGCTAGGCCCGGACAAGAAGATTCTGCCTAGGAAAGGGCCGGACAGAGCCAGCTGGAAGTCAGAGCAGCGTGGGCACAGAGCATCACCAAAATCAGCAGGGCGGCTGTTGCTTAGAGTGACACAGACTCAAGACAGAGCTTTCTAGCCCCCAGATCAGCCACCTGTTTTGGGGACCACGTGGCCTGGGTTTATGTAGTGCTTTGATGCTAGAAGCCTCTCCCCTCTTCTGGGGAATCACACGATCCTTTGCACCCTTGTGGTGCAGGGGTGGAGACCTGGCCAGTGGAGACCACTGTCATCTCTTCTGCGTTCTGTCTCATTCCCTTTTTTATTTGTCTGTGTGGCCCCCTCTGCCAGAACCCTCGAAAACAGACCTCTGCCCTGCCATGAACCCTTTGTGAGAATCTGGGGAGTCCTTCCTTGTTCTGGGCCTCAGTTTCCACAGCTTTAAAAAGCAGAGGTTGGGTATGATCAGAAGTGGGCAGGGGCTGGCCCCATGGCGTAGTGGTTAAGTGCATGCGCTCTGCTGCTGGCAGCCCGAGCCTGGATCCTGGGTGCGCACCGATGCACCGCTTGTCAGGCCATGCTGTGGCGGCATCCCATATAAAATGGAGGAAGATAAGCACAGATGTTAGCCCAGGGCCAGTCTTCCTCAGCAAAAAGAGGAGGATTGGCATGGATGTTAGCTCAGGGCTGATCTTCCTCACACACACAAAAAAAAAGTGGGCAGACTTGTCAAGGGCCACGTGGGAAATATTTTAGGCTTCATGGGCCAGAAGGGAACTCGAGTTACAGCTCCTATCACTGGGATCTGCAGTGTGCCCAGCAGCAGGGCCAAGCGATGACACCACCCCGTACAGTCTCTGTTGCAACGACTCGGCTCTGTCTGGTGCGGGAGAGGCCGCAGACAACGCGAGAACCAGGGGCTGGCTGTGCACCAGTAACTTTATGGACGCTGAAACTTGCATTTCATGTAATTCTCACATGTCACAAAATATTCTTCTTTTGTTTTTTTTCCCCCCAGCCATTTAGAAAGGTGAAAACCATTCTTAGTTTCTGGCTTGTACAGAAACAGGTGGTGGCCCATATGTGGCAGGACCCCTGGATGAGATGAATGGTTTTAAACTTTTTTAAGGGGAAGGGCACTTTCTGAAAGTGAGATCTCACACAGAGCCCCAATGCATAAACAGATAAAGTGGAGCTGCTCTTGATGGGAGTGGGAGGCAAGGGCCTGTCTACCCACCCTAATACCCAAGGTAGCCCCTGAGGCACCCAGTCACCGTGTGTGGGTGTGTGGGGTGTGGGGTGCAGGTGTGTGGGGCCCCTGCAGTCGCACCACTGAGCCCCTGGAGAAGCTGCGCCCAGGCCTCACACCTGCTGCCCAGGTGTGTGGTGGCTGCAGCACTCCTCCTGTTCTAGAAAGGGCCAGATAGTAAATATTTTAGGCTTATGCGTCATATGCGCTCTGTCACGTGTTCTTCATTTTTTGTTTTATTTTTTTTTTTTAACAACCCTTTAAAATGATCAAGACCTTTCTGTGGCTGGATTTGGCTTACACATATTTGCCAGCCCCCGTCTTGAAAACAAACCCAACCAGCCTTCAAGCTGCCGGTGAAGGAGAGGCCCGGCATGGGTCGCCCGGGCAGAGGATGCAAGTAGGAGAACTTGGAGAAGAAATAGGGAAAACTTTGCCGATAGAAGCCAGCTGCGGGGACAGTCTGGAGGAAGGGCAGTTTGGGGTTGGGAATACTGTAACTTATAGTGCAATATTAGATTCAGTATTTTGCTCTTAAGATGGGTCAGAGTCCAGTACAAATGGGGGGTGGTACAATGCTACCATCAGAGATGTGGGTTTCACCAGCCAGTGCTGAGAACCTGGGGAGACAGGAGGCCAGGGCCGGGCCTGGCCAGCGGGGAGTTGACGGTTGAATAGAGGAACGAACGAGGAATGATCACAACATGCTGAGCACGGTGAAAAAGCACAGCGTCTGTGGGAATGAGGACGGGGCCTCTCTGCCCACCCAGGGAGCTTGAGGAAGGGCCTGCAGACGAGGACTCAGTGGAGCTGGGCTTTGACCGGGAGCCTGGGGTCTCCTGGACTTGCGAGAGGTTCAAGGGTCTGGCTTGTCAGACCTTGGGCAACTCATTCAACATCTTGGCCCTGATTTTCTCATCCGCAAAAGAGAAGGCTGCTCTAAGTGGGTGCTGGCATTCAAGAGATGTTTCCAGATTCCATAAGGACCAGACAGCCCCACCTTCTCATTTCACAGGTGGGAAACTGAGTCACAAATGGAGGTTGTTTCCTGCCCAAAGCGATCAGTTTTAGCCCCTTCCAGGAAAGAATGCCAGCCTACCTGAATGAGTCTCTGTCAAAGCTTCCTGTTCGTGATTTTTACTTCTACACGTTCAGCCTCTAATTCTCGTTTTCTCTTTTCTTTTCCATCCGTCTTGTTGCTTTTTTATTTTCGGGGGGTGGCTGCTGCGCTGGCCTGTCCTGTCATCCTCTCCTCTCCCCGCCATCCTGATTCCTGCGGCTCCTCCTCCTGTCCCCAACGCCATCACCTGCTGGACTGCGCTCTGCCCACACCTGGCGAAATGGTTGCGGGCCACCCCCAGGCGCTGGCGGAGCCGCTACTACGGGAAAGGACGTTACGGTCACCTTGACTTTAAGAACTCCTGTCCGGTTCTGGAGGAATAGTGTGTCTTCTGTTACTTCCCTCATTCTCGGCCTGTTTACGGTTATCCCTTTGCACACCCTGCTTCCTGTCTGTCTCTGCATCCAGTTTCCCCATCTTTGTGTGTTTTATTCCCATTAACCAAAGTGACATTCTTACAGCTGAAATGGCCACCAGCAAAGGCCTCGCAGGCTTGGGTTTCTCTCACTGGGCTAAGAGAAGACCCACAGCATGTGGCAGGGCCTTTGTCCACACACCGTGGCCGATGATGGCTTCTCCCTGGCAGGGAGAGAACTCAGATCATTGGTCTGAGTCCCCAGGGTGTCCTCTGGCCAGAGCTTAAAGAAGGGAATGCAGTAAGCAGAAATAGCGAACTTCAAGAAGTCGGTTTTGATAGTTAGGGGCTGAGTGGCAGTGGGGTCTGTAGAAACATTCTGTGCCTGTGTCCCGGGGGAGCTAGGGAAGGGTTCCCTGTGCCAGGCTCCCTTCCAAGCTTGCTCTGCTGCCAAGCCTGGGATGGAGCGGGGTGTCCCTTTCCCTCTCTGCAGGGAAAGAGGGTGTCCTGCTCTCTGCCCTGGCCAGGCCTCTGCCACTCCCCTTTGGTCTCGGGTTCTGACTCTGCTCTCCCCTCTTCTCTTCCCCTCTGTAGGTTGTAGGCCTGGCTGCCTTGCATGCCCCTGGGGCTTTCTTCCTCCTAATCAACAAATGGCACCGTGACTTCTGCTCAGACGCAAACTGAGATGCGGGCACTAACCCAGGGGACGCCATCTCTGCCGCTCCAGTCTTCTCTCCTGAGACTTCTTTTGCTTTGTTTTTAAAATGGCCCCTCCCCTCTCCACGGCCTGCGTGTGCCTGTAACTGCTCTCCAGGGAGGATCCCTCTAATGGACCTCCCCCAGAACCGCCTCCCTGGGCGTGACTTCATTCTCTCTAGCTCTCCTCCTGTGGGGTGGTATCATTTCTGTTTGGGTAGTCCTGTCTCCCTACTAACACCTCAGTGAGGTATATCCCCCCTGAGCACACCGGCCTCCTGCTGGCTGTGTCCACAGTATGGGGGAGGGCTGCTTGGCTGTTAACTCGCGGGGATCTTGTCCCACAAGGAGTGGAATGATTTCAGAGCTGCCCAGGGCCAGTTCCCTCTGGAGGGTTGGGGGGGTGGACACCAAAAGTCCTGTTGCCATGAAAGACACCAGCTTGGAAGGGCTGTGTCCTCAGCGGCACGCTCAGGAAAGTTGTCCTAAAGCAGAGGGCGGCCTGTCTCCAGACGACTTCACTGATGAAAACAAAGTGTCAGCCCCCTCCCCCCGCAGATTACTCCCTTTAGAGCTGCCCAGTGCAGACAGAAAGTACCAGACCCCAAGTCAGAGTTCATCAAGAGTGTAGCTGACAGGCCACACGCAAAGTCACCACACTGCTTACCAAATGCAGATTCCTGGGGCCCCCAAGAATTGAGTCTGGGTCTCTGGAGGCAGGCTCTGGGAATCTGCATTTCAGCCTGCTTCCAGAATGCTCTGATGGACCCCAACATTTGGGGACCATTTCTAAAAGGAGCCTGTGATGTCACTCTTGGTACTGGGGGCAGGTTTCTCTTCTCTCCCAATTCCACTTGGAGCAAGACCTTAACTGGGCTGTAAATGAGAAAGCAGGTTAGATGAGCCCACAGTAGTTACTGGGCATTCTGGGGTGCTGGGGATTCTGAGATGAGCAAGCCACTGCCCTGCGGTGGGGGGGCAGCTAAGCCTTGGCCACACTAAGCTTTAGGCCCCTCCTGTCTAAGTATGACCAGGAGCAGCTCTGCCCAGGCTGTCAGCTGTGCAATCATTCTCACTTCTTGGTGGGACCGGGTCCTCTGCTGAGCTGCTGGACCTGGCCTACTCCTTAGCTAACGTTACCCTAATTCTGCTCAAGACCAGCAGGGCTATAACCCTTGTTTTTGTTCCTCTTTGCAGCATTAACAGCAGCAAAGTTGTACCCCGGTTTGAAAGGTTTGGCTTGGGAGTCCTGGAGTCCAGTAATCCAAAGATGTAGCCAGATCTGCCGATTTCGTTCTTTCTTAAATGTGTTTCTAAAA